TTGTAGTGCGCTTGAGTTAAGATTAAAAAAAAATGATAGAAAAAAAAAGGACCTGCAGTTGCATTTAGTGCGTATTTGCAGCACTTGCTCCGGCTGTTGTGGCCAAGTGCCACTAAAGTGCACGGAGGACATAAATGCGGGGATGTGTCTGGTTGTATTTTTCTAGTTATTTTTTTTTTGCTGTTGCAAGCCAGGCAGGCAACATGCTCTCAGCCTGCTGACAAGTGGGCACTTGGCCCTAGCTACTCGTGTTTTGTAGTGTTTGTCGTGTTTGGCCACAATGGAACAAGCATACATATATTGTCAGGCCGAGTGCCACAATTTGGAGCAAGCGGAAAAGAAGAGCTGCCAAGAACTGAATCACAAACGATTTTCGGATTGAAAAGTCGACTTATATTTGTTTGCCGTTTTGTTATTCGTGGAAAAGCAAAAGGCGCTTTCCACATCGCCGCAAAAGCCATGCAATTAGGCGTACAAAAACGCGAATAGTGTGCCTGCAATTAACATTAACCCACTGAGTTTTTATCAGGCACACACACACTCGCACACACTCTCGCACACACTTGCTGGCTCATAATAATATGGCATTAGCGGAGTTCAGCCGCATTAATTGCAAAATGTGGCCGCGCTTGTCTCTCGTGTGTCTTTGTCGCAATCGGGCATTGCAAAATGTCGCTTTGGCTCTTACATTGTCCGACTAATTAAAGGTTTTGTGCGCACTAATAACGGCCATTCGGCTCAACAGTTGCGAACACCTCAATGACAACGGCGTCGGCGTCTGCGGCGTCGTCCGAGTGTGCCGCCAAATTGTGGGTGCAACGGGCCGTAAAGTTGCCACCAATTCCCACATGATCAGCATGTGCGCCATGCTACGGCCATTTAACATCTGCACTTTGATAATATTTTTCGAATTTGAAAGCCCATTCATGAGTCAAAACCACTTGCATAATTTAGCTAAAGTCTTTTCTGCGGTTTCATTTAGCCTGCGTTTTTTTTTGTTCAACAAGGCGTTGGGACAATGTTGCGTCTTCAGGCGGCCTGCTGCGTTTGAAAATGGCTGCAACAATGGCAAGTGGCTGATGCCACAACAACAACAACAACAACAAGATGCCACACAGATAGCTTATTGTCTTTAAATTTGCAGCCTGCTTTGACTTGTTTAACATTAACATTAGCAAATATTGTCCGCCACGCATAGTGTCACAATTGCATATAAATATTTGGCATAAAATTGGCAATTATGCGTTTTACCTTTAGATAAGATATCAAAATAACTTGCTAAACAAAAAAGTTTTCCATACAAGAAGCTACTTTTCTATTATATGATATAGATATGATATAGTTATCCGATGTGGATAAGGTTTTGCATATATATGAGGAGCATAGGGAATAAATAACGGATATCTCGATAGTCAAAAGTGTTGTCCCTACAGGCAGCCATTTGATATAGTGCTCCGATCCGTCCGGTTCCGATGTATGTATGTACTGCCACAGAAAGGCGGACCTATGCAAAGTTTCATCAAGATAACTTTTTAACTGAGAAACTAGTTCGCATGACAGAACAGACAGAAAGGCAGACACACAGACAGACAGACGGATAGATGGACGAAGGAGGGACAGACGGGCGGACGGACAGAAGGACATGACTATATCCATTCGGCTGTTGATGCTGATCTAGAATATATATACCTTATGGGTTCGCAGATGTCTCCTTCAGTGCGTTACATAGTTCTTGACAAATTTAATATACCCTCTACAGTTGTCAGCCACAACAATAATTTTGATAGTTCGATTCGCGATTTGGGCCAGCTTCCTAGCCTTAGGTTCCGTTTGTACTTTGTTTTTCACAGCCTTTAACTTATGAGTTTCTTTTGGGGCTAATTCTGAAAAACAATTTTGTTAGTTCGAACCAGTTTCTTCCCTTGAGGTTCGCTTCTTAAACTTGGTTTGCCGAACGCTTAAACTTAGATTTTTCTTGTGGGTCTACAGTTGATGTCAAATAAAAAAAAATGGACATTTTAGAAATATAGTTTAATAATAACAAGAGTAAAGGCCCAAGCTATTTATGCTTTAGAGCTAACCCTCTCTTTAATTTTATTTAAATTATCTTCCAATTTATTTAAAACCGTTCCATTCTTGAAAAAGATATTTCGTGTCTTGGTTCTGTTATTTTGGGAAAGTTTCTTTGGTTGAGTTTCGCTTTTTAGTAGAAATTATATTTGAAGGCCGACTTCGAACCAAGTTTTGATAGAAATATAAACCACATTTTAGTACTTCTTTTCTATTGCTTGAGCCACTTTGCCCCACTGTGCGTTTGAAGATAAGGCGTTATATTTTTTGCTGTTGCTGTTTTTTTTTGTTTTAGCTTTTTTGTGGTTTTGTTTGCGACATCGTTTTGCAATGCCGAGTGTAAAGTGGATATAGATAAATATATCTATTGTGACTGCCGCCCGTTTTGTTTTTTTTTTGTTTTTTTTGTATGCATGTAGATTGAGTCTTGTTTGGTTAGTCGCATTGTTTCGCTGATCGACGACAAGTTTGTCGCCCAAGTCTTTTGTTTTAGGCCGCCGCCGGCTACTGCCTGCTCGATAAATTCAATGCATATCAAAACTAAAAGTCAAGGTGATGAGGGAAACGAGCCGAAGGAGGGGGGGGGGGGGGGCACATTCGGAAATTGAGTAGTTTGCACGCTTGTTACTTATTATGTGCCACAGAGTCGGACGTGTGGCTCCATTGAACGATGTCTCTGTTTGCACAGCAATTGACTCATCATCCGCCAAATGAAATATCAAAAGGCGCCGCGGGCTGATACCGAAAATTGAACTATAAATAAAAATCCTCACGTCTCTGGCTAAACATAGTTCTCTGTTCGCCCCTCAAGTGGCTGCCAGAGCAGCTCGAGCCTCTTAATTGTTCATGCTCATGATGCAAATAAGACAAAAATCAATTTTTAGCGAGATATCAAGACACATGACGGCACACTTTTGGCATCTGTGTGTTGCCAGACGTTCACAACAATTTATATATAGCTTAAATTAAGTAATGAATTTATGCAATATTTGCATATTTTTTGTCGTATCTCATTTGCCAGGCGCGTGAGGTTAAAGAACTGCGGCATACTTCACAGGCGGCCCACCATCAAATGAAGATTGATGTGGCTCCCTTTCAAGTCCAAGTCCAGGTCGAAGCCCAAATTGCATTAGGCCGACTGACTTGCTGCTCCCATTTCAAGGGGCAACGAAACATTGGCAACGACTTGAATACCCTAGCTGAGGGCATTAAGAGATTATAGCCTCGAGTCTGACTACAAACAAGTGGAAATTCATGTATTTGCAGCTTAACTTTGTACGAGGCTTTGCTTCGAAGCGACGACAAATTGCTTAAACTTGTTCCTTATACAATAATGCAAGGGTATACACTTGTAGTTGGGTAGGGTATTTACTTGTCGGCACTTCGCCTGCACACATTTCTTTCACGTACATTTTCTAGTTTCCCTTGGTTGTTTTTGCTTTTGTTTTTGTTGTTTTTCTTTTGGTTTTTCACCTGCCAACTGGCAACGGCTTTGAGTAACTTTGAGTTGTCACCAAAGAGAACTAGAAAAAAACAACTTGACTTGAGTTTCCAACGAGCGTTGACCATGGCACAAATGTGCATCGGCAGTGGCATCGTCGTCATATGGTAACACGACCGATGATTAATTTGCAATTATTGCTATCATTAAGTCTGCGGTTGCTGCAGCGGACACAGCTGCCACAGAAAGCAATCAAATGAGGCATTTAACAAGTAGGATCGAGCACACATTGAGCATGCCGACAATTAAATAGCCTTTAGCTTGGCAGTTATGTGAGGCGCATTGTATAAGATCGCATTTGCTGAAAATACACAAACTCAAACTCATACGGAAACTCATTTTCTACATAGAGCTATAAGATATAGTAGCACGATTATTTTGAGATGTGGCTAACATATGCCATGTTTTTGATACCAGATCAAGAATATATATACCTAAGGGTGTCAAAGTGCACCCTTTAGTAGGGTATTAGAACTTGATGCCCAACTAATTCTAAGGGCAAACGAAATAAAGTTAAAGATCACGAACTTAAACAATGGAAAATTTGCAAACTTGTTGCAAGCTCTTTGGCTGGGAATGTGAAACAAATATATGTGAACCTGCCGCCTCTGATTACCGCACAAAGCATGTTGTTTGGGCCCCTCTGCTCGATCCTCTAGAGAAATGATGAAGCTGTCAGCGTGGTGTCTGCATTACGTGGCAAACTCTTGGCACACTTATCCGCAAATCTAACTGTCTATCATATAAGTATATAACCATCAGTCAGACACCAAGCCAGCTGGGAAGCAATGGAGTTGGGCAGTTGGGCTGGCTTTTACATAAATCGCTAGCACTTGGCTCGTGAATTTTCAATTTTCGAATTATGTGCCGAAATGACTGTGGAATATGCCAGTTGTTGCGACTGCCGGGAAATGCATGCTCATCGCGGGTCAGTCAGAGATTTTGAGTGTAGCCAGCTATCAGCCGAACAATTTGCCAGCCGCGCAACATTTTGGCCATAAATATGCTTAGGACGTGGGCTGCATTATGCAATTGGCGGCGAGTTGGGCGGGGGGGCAGACCTTTTTTGGGGTCGGTTCGCGTTGCCTCAACGCCTGCTAATTAATGCAACGCCATGTGCCAGCAGCAGCAGCAGGCACAGTGGCTGCCATAAGCTGTCGCACAGCCAACCATTTTTAATAGAACGCGCGCAAACAAATCACAAATGTGTGCCAAAAAATAAAACGCTTTTAATTTGCGGTTAACTCTAGCTTCAAGCTGCTGTTAAATTAGAAAACGTCTTGCAAAATATAATTTTTATGGAATTTAAAACAATTTTTTGGTTCATTCGAGGCTCTTTCTAGTACCTAAAACCCATTTTCGCCTTTTAAATTATTTAACTTATATTTATAATTTTAGTTTTTTAATTTTCAATTCTCAATCTTTGCAGTTAAGACTGAGCCGTAGCCCGTTTGGGAGCTGAATGTGTTTGCGTGTGCCTTGACCATGCCCATTTGCAAAAGTTCGCCGGCAACGGCAACGAGCAAGAAAACCGCCACGGACATATCCGCCGATCATGTGACGGAGGCGGCCCAGGTGAAACGCACACGGGAACAGGCCTATTTCAATTCGTACGACTTCGACGCAATCGAGGTGCTGCCCTACGACGAGGACAACGACGACGACGGCGACGGCGTGGTTGTGACGGGCAGGCACAGTCGCGCCAGCAGCGGACGCTATTCGGTGGCCAACGACAGCAACAGCAGCGGCAGCCACACAAAGTTCGCCTATCTGCACAGGCTGGGCGCCTTCTTTGGCCAGAAATCAGCTGCGGATGGCGCAAGTGCATCGGCTGGTCACAATAATGGAGTAGCCGGAGCTACACAGGAGCTTGGCGGCGTTGCCCTCGTTGCGGGGCCAACTAATGATAACTTTTTGCTACCACGCGCCATGCTAAAGTATCCATATCAGAGGTAAGTCTTGACAGCCATGGAATCCAATGGATTCGAAACGGGAATTCTTATAAGTCTTGACAGCAAGCTATGAAAGCGAGCGAGTGCGAATCTAGAATTCCTACTTATTAAGCTTATAATGAACTGAAACTTAAACAAAAACAGATGTATCGAACCATATCTCTTAATACAATAAACTCATTGAAAATAGTTGGAGCAGATGTTTAGTTTCTTAATCAGAACAACAAGCTGAGTTGCTCTTGATTAACTACAACAGAGACTTAAAGTTTAAAATATATATCCTTCTCGCAATACGCAGCAGAAGTTCATCATATGTTGTCGATATTATGCTCCCATTTGCATAATATCGATATATATCGATTTTGAGACATAGTTTATTAACCAATCAAAAAGTATAACCCAGTTACACCTAACTAATATCTGAGTTATGGAATAATTCTTAATCAGGACGACAAGCTGAGTCACTCTTGATTAACTACAAATAGCTAGACACCTAAAATGCATAATTTTTTTATACTATACGCAGAACAAGCTCATCATTTTATGTCGTCAATTCTCTTCCATATGTATAATATCGATAAACATCGATTTTAAGAAAGCTTTCTCAAGCATAACTCGAAAAGTATAAGCGCTAGTTACACCAAACTTGCTCTGCAGACACTTTTAAGCACACACAAATTTTAACTTTTTAACTTCTTGGACTCCAAATTAATTAAAGCTAGAGCCTTGCTTTTGCTTGCAGGAAGTTGTTGCAAACCGTAAACTGTTTTGTTTTGTTTTGTTTTGTTTTGTTTTGTTTTGCTTTGTTTTGGCTTGCAACAGCATCGAAATGTGCAGCATCGGGCAACAGCTGGCTAAGAGCTGCGCTGACCTTCGGCTCACGGCCAACACGGCCGTCGAGTGGCCCTTTGCTATGGTCGCAACGCAGCAATTACGCGCGCGCCGCTCTTCAGTCCCAAGCTCTCGACAAATCCGAAACGCAATTTAATTATGTTATGCCAGGGCAATTAGCGCGGCATTAAGCTGATTTAAATCTGGCTATTGTGGAAATAAAAAATGCTTAAATCTAACGCTCATACAGAGCCATTTCAAAGGGCCACACAAATTGCGCATACGCCAGGTATGCTGCCCGCATCCGTATATGTTTGTCTGCGCAGCTGGCAGTTTAGTTTTAAGCTGCTATGTAAATGAAGCGAAGTTCAAGTTGCACGTTGCAAGCGTTGCAAGCGCTGCAAGCGAAGCAATGCGGTTTTTGGCGCCTGTCGTCAGCCTTCACCTCTTTTCAGCGGCAGCAGAAGCCACTTGACTTGCCAAACACTTGACGTCGCGTCGGTCAACAGCAACAGCAACAATAACAGCAACAACAATGAATGCAACTGCAGCCAGCTGCAACAATTACGTTTATTAATTGAAATTAAAGAAGCCACATATGAGGCAGCCTACTGCCTCTGCCTCTGCCTCTGCCTCTGCCTCTGCCTCTGCCTCAGCTGGAGGTCACAGCCAGTTTTGGTTTGAAATATTTCTACATACATAACTGAGTCGTGCATACATACACACATGCACACATGTGCAAGCGAAACTAGCAAGCAGCATATAAATATTTACATGTGTGCCATCAAATCGTGCAATTTATTGTATATAGTTTTTGTTTTCTATTAAACAAACGGGTGTGCACGACTAGCAGATGCCCTGAACCCTGTCGAGCTGCCGTTACACACATGCTCGCCTTCTCTTATACATACATACAAGCACACACACACACATATGCACACGCGACTGTGCTTCTTCTTAGCCGCATGCTATGGGAACGAATTCTCAAATAACTTCGGTTCTTATTGTCCGATCTTTGTGAATTTTTCAGGGCTTAAATGTGATATGCAAATATGTACATATACCAAAGCGCAAGGATCAAATTGAGTTATATTTCAATGGTTAGTGGAATTAGGGGAAGGTAGCCAATCGGAAGGTGGGGGAAGGTGCAATATAGGAATAAGATTCAGTTACGGAAAAGTTTACAATAAAAAACCAAACTGAAGATAGTTTCATAGCTGAGAGACTAGTTTTCATAAAAGTAGACAGACTTAATTCACAACTGCAGCTGATCAAGCACAAGCGTTACAAAGTAGCTAATAAAAAGTAGAATACCCTCTGCAAGTGTATCAAAAAAATATGTATATAAATAAAACAACAGAGTAGCCGAAAACAGTTTTGAGTTATTTTGAATGCATGCAACAGGCTCAGCGCACAAAGCCCATGGCTCATGGCTCAAATTTGATTTCGCATTCAGAAATCCTTACTTTCAATGGCAGCCAAGGTTAATGCAATTAAGGCACATACCATGCATACACTATACAGAGCATTTAAACTTGATATCTTGTTTATGACTCTATGCGAATTTCATGTCTTCTGTCTGTCTGTCTGTGTTGTGTTGTGTTGTGTTGTGTTGTGTTGTGTTGCCCTTTCCCATTGCCCTGCTGTGTGCATGTGCATGCAAGAAAAGTAGAAGGTTTTCAGTAGCAGCTCTTCCTATCGAAATTTTGTATTGCATCAGCTGTAACCTTCCCATAATATTGGACACATGTTATGCAGTTAGTACGACGGTCAATTTGGCTGTTATATAGCTGTCATTAGTATTAGTTTCGCCCGATGCGTTAATTTGTATTCAATATTGTACGGGGCGTAGCTATGCCAGGGTCAATGCCTCATTTAGGCAATCTTTGCTGGCTAAGCATGTGCGAAATATATTCAAAATAATCGCCTGCAATAGAAACGCGATTAGTTTGATTGATTTATTAACCAGACGCAGTTAGTATATATATATATATATATATTTGTGGTTGGGTACAGTTAGCTGGTTCGACAGAAGGACGTTTGAAAACTAAACCAAGAGCCAGTTGGACCAAAGTGTAATTTGTTGTGGCAGCCAAGTCAACAATAATTAGCGGACACACACACTCACACACACACGCACACACATATACACTCGCACCTTTTCTAGTTACTGAGCTAACGGCCCCGTGTTCCGACATGCAAACGAGGCTGAACATTTTAATTAACACGGCTCACAAATAAATACGCAAATATTGCAAAATATTTCATGCTCTAAGCCGCGATGGAACGTTAACCTTGTCGATTACATATCAAGCCAAAAAAAAAAAAATGAATAAAAAATAAAAAATAAAATAAAATACTAGACAAACCGAGCTAAACGCATCGATAAACAAGCTGGTCTTAATAACCGTTGCATAGCCCCCAGCAGCTCCCCCTTTAAAAAAAAATGAAAACCAAGCCCAAGTCCAAGTCCGTACCCGAACCGAACCGATCCGATCCGATCGCAAGTTATCAATTTTCGTGGCACAGTTGCTATATAAGAACGGCGACAGCGCAGCGACACGAAGACCGTTATTACGCAATTTTCCAGCGATTTTTCCACAGCGCTCCACCGCTTCAGGTTGCCGCTGACCCACTGCCCAAAGTTAGACACACAAAACGGTTCTTAAATAACACACACACAACAGCAGCGCCTCTGGGCCAACGAATCCATGTCAACTTGTAAGGCTAGCCACTAAAGTGAGCCAGATACCAAAACAGAAAGGGCATTACCATGTGTTTGATATACTATAAATATTTGCAGAACAATATCAAGTAACATTCGAGCTATAGCTTGCTAACAAGAAGGATGCTGGTTCGAACCATTAAAAATTATGGGGCGTTTGCATGAGTTTTATATACTATAAATATTTTCAGAACAATATCAACTAACATTCGAGCTATAGCTTGCTCCTTATAGTTTCTAGCTGCCTAACAAGAAGGATGCTGGTTCAAACCATTGTAAATTATGGGGCATTAGGGGTAGGGTTGTACACAATAAATATTTACAGAACAATATCAACCATCATCGAGCAATATGTAGCTCTTTACAGTCACCATCTTGCTTAGGCACCTTAAAAGTAAGGTTGGTGGTTCGAACCACCAACATTGGAATGGCATTAGCATAAGTTTATTACACCATAAATAGTTACAGAACAATATCAACCATCATTATGAGTTATAGATAGCTATTTGCAGTTCCTAGCACCCTTCGGTACCTTTACAAGGTTTAAAGAACATTAACTTAAGTTTTATACACTATAAACATTTACAGAAGAATATCGACCTTCATTCGAGCTATAGGTAGCTCTTTACAGTCCCCATCTGCATTAGGTACCTTCACAAGAAAGATGCTGGTTCGAACCATCGAAACTGTAAGGGCATTAGCATTTTTATGCACTATACAAATATATCTATAACAAAATGATTTAAGAGATAAATATATAGAAATAGCTTTTTGAGCTCCTAGTTTTGGGAGCTAGCTGTCTTAGTGAGACACTTCCTTAGGCCACTTAAAAAAAAGGTTGCCGGTTCGAACCTCTCGCCTGTCTTAGTAAGCAAATATTAAACTAGAATTTAACAAACTAGCCGCCGCTTCATCTAGCTAACTGCTCAAAATTAAAGAAACTCATGCCAAAAAAAACCGAAAAAAAAGAAACAAAATTATAATAAAAACCAATTGCAACAGTTACTCAAGCTGAAATCCTGTTTAGAACGAGTTTCTTTTGATTCGGAATTGAATTTTGATGTTGAATTTCAAATGTTGCTTTTTTTTACATATGTGTATAAGTGTGTGTGTGTGTGTGTGTGTGCTTGCGCCTGTTAGGTAGCACTTAAAAATGCGTTAAAATGTAAACAATTTATGCTCTGGTCTAGCTCGAAGACCGAGCAACCCCCGTCAAGAATTCCAGGCACATTAAACAAGCATTAAATAAGTTGCGTCGAACTGGAAGATTTATTGATTTGACAGACAAACAAACAAACAAAAAAAAACGGCGGCAAATCGAGAGCGAAACCAGCTGCTGCAACAACAACAACAACGTGTCGTAAAGAAAACTACTAACCCACATACAAGACGCTTGCCACAAAACCACTTTCATTGCGCGAGGTTTCGCTTTCAGCAGAGTTTTATTTTTTATTTTATATATTTTTTGGACTTTTCTCAATGATTTTTCTCACACTGTGCTCTTTTTTGATGTTTCTCCTTGTCCAGCGGCAATGCGACGACTTCAATGCCATTGACAGCGTCGCTCTCAATGATCCACGCGAATGGCTCGGCTGGTCTTGAGAGCCAGACGGGTGCATCTGTGACCAGGCCAAACGATATCAAGCCAACTGTGGTGGCCAGTGTGGCAACAGCGGCGCGCAACAAGAAACGCTCGACGGCATCCAATGCCAGCAGCACACATACCACGGACTCGGGCCTGGGCACCAACACAACAACAACAGCAGCAGCAGCAGCATCTGTCGCTGTGGCAGTGGCAGTGGCAGCAGCAACACCAACAGCAGCGGCGGCAGCAACAGCGAGCGGCTCACACTATTCGACCGATAAAAGCGGCTCGTCCGGTTACTATAGCTCTCACGTGTGCTCCACATACTCGCTGGACGAGCACATCTACTGCGAACCGGTCATAGATATCCTAGAAGCCAAGAGCAAACGGCCACAGCTGCGGCTGCCAACGAAAGTGACGGGCCATGCGACAGAGACCACAGCGATTAGTCAGCATTTGGACATGCAAGATGCGTCTACGGGCCTGGCAGCTAACCAAGCGGCGGACAAAACGGAGCAAATAGCCACGGGCAACAGCCAGCAGCAGCAGCAGGAGCGACAGCAGCACCAACAGGAGCCGCCGCACTACAGCGACAAGCTGCGCATCCTGGAGACAAGCATTGAGAATTTGGATCGTCATTTGAAAACCTTGCCCAGCCTCTATGCGCAGCATGCAGCAGAGCGGCAAGCGCCAGCTGCCGCATGCGCCAACCTGGACATTGGCGAAAAGCTGCGTGCCTACAACCAGCTGCCCACAATTATGGAGGGCTATGCCACACAGCGGCAGCAGCGGCAACTGGAGCAGCTGGATGACTCACTGCTCGACATCGATCTGGATGCATTTCTGCTGCAACCCAAGCAGCAGCAGCAGCAGCAGCAACAGCCAAGGCGACCCCGTCAACAGCTGCTCGCAGGCATCGATAATCCGAGTTTTCTGAGCGACGAGCAGCTCGAGGAGAACAATTACAAGTGTGCCAAATACATCAACTCCTGCCCGGAGGATGCCTATCGTGTGGACAACGAGTCTGCGGCCCATGCGGCCACAACGGCGACCTATGCGAAACGCTATGAGGATCAGCTGCACTTTCAGAGCACACGCGAACTGCTGGAGGATGTGCGCGACAAGATCCGTCTGCTGACGCCGACGCCCACAACGGATATACCGCAGGAGCTGGAGGGCATGATACAAACGCTCAAGGACGAACTGGAGTCGTATCTGCAGCGCATGAATCAGCACAGCGAGCTGGAGCTGCGCCAGCTCTGCAGCGGGCTGGGGCGCCAGCAGCATGTGGTGCGGCTGCAGAATGCGCTGGAGCGCAGGCGCAGCTTTGCCGGCGAACTGCAGCTGAATACGTACGAAACTGTGCGCGACGGCGTCCTAATCTCCACCTGCGGCCGGCCGCTAAATGTGCGCGAACAGATCATGAGCATACGTTGTGCCAGCGATCCGAACTTTAAGATGAAACGCAAATCCATTACCGAGGTCTTTCCCGTCGCCGAGTGCTATATTGAGACCATGACGTTATCGCGCAGTGCCACGCCTACGCTAACGCCTACAACCATGGACACCACGCCCACGCCGACAACCACGCCCACGCCTACGCCACCGCTGGAACTGAAGGCAGCGACAACAACAACCATGGTCACCCAAATGCAGCGCAATCTGACCTTCCACAAGCCCGTGCTCAGCGTGGAGAACGCCAGATCGCGGCTGGGCAACGGCCACGACAAGATCGACAACGCAGCCGAGTGGCATCGCAAGAAGCCGAGCATCTGGGAGATGTACTACGGCACCAATCGACTGCATCAATCGCTGCTGGGCAAGCAGCGACACAGCGGCAGCGAACTGGTCATCAGCAGCGCACATCCGACGCTCTCCTATGTGAGTATATATGTGGGGCAAAGGATCCTTTTATACGGGGCAACAGATTATATAATCCCTAAAGTGGTAAAGTGAACCAATAGTTGGTATAAGAGAAGAGATTTAGGCATTTAAGACAGGGCTGCAAACCGGGTTTGAACTGTATTGGTTCAAACCCGAAATTCCCACGTAGAGTTTACTAAAAGATGGGCCTTAAACCTTATCAAAGTATCTTAAAGAAAAGATGGAATCGAAAACTGAACCGAATTATATTTTCTGTCAAAAATAGTTTGATGCCAAACTTGTGAAGAAAACTTTGACCCAATGTCTAAATAACTTGGCACAAGTAACTTTATTTATCTAGATAGGCAGAACTTTCATCTATTATAGAAAAAGGTTGCAATTGCATGACAAACCAGGGCTAAAACCAAAACTTACGCTTTGTGAATGCAGGAAACCAGGTCCACAAATCGATCCTAAAGGCAGAAATAGCTGGTTCGAAAAGTGCAAAAGAGAACCTTTAAATTAAATCAAGATCAAGAGGTTAGAGCACAACGAGTCCCAAGTTTGATTTTTATTTAAAAAGTCAACATAAGAAGAAAAAGAAATTATATCATATATAAAAAATGCAGTCTGTACTTTTTTCAGTTGCTTCACACTTGCAATTCTCAACAAATTAAAGCTTAGAAAGAGGAACAAGACAACAAGCAAAGTCAGCTGATCATAGAGCCGAGAGATTCTTGAACTAGCTAAGCAGACAAATGTCTAATATTTTTATACATTGTTGCTTATTGCTTATTATGTTTATAAAAAAGTTAATAGTTTAGTTGACTCGAGGTCTAGGTTTAGAACAACTTGTTTGTTTTAAGTTGAAACCTAGACCTCGGGTTGACTAAGCTGTCAACTAAAAATTGGCAAGGTCATCAAACATCCAATATTTATATAAAAATTAAGAAACATACCATCGTTTAATTATTCATTTAATTTATACCAAAAAGTTCACTAAAATCAATTGTCAATTGTTGTAAAAATAATGGGCTAAGCTCTCAAAATTGAAGTTCATTTCATGCTTTAAGCGATTTGGCATTAAATTAATTAATTACAGTATTAACTGTATTACTTAATATGGGTCAAATTTGTAGGCTTTACTTTGCTGCCCGCTAAATGCAGTTGGTTTACGTTGTGCGGGCTACTGGGCGTTAGTTTGGCCAACGAGGCGTATGATTAATGCTTTTGGCTAATTGCCAACTAAACACAAATCTCGGGGTCGAGTCGGCCAAAAATCAATTGGTTAACTGTTTTTTTTTTTTTTGGGTCACATGAACTTATCAAGAGATTGACAGCACGGCCGAGGGCGTAATTCAGTGGAATTTTTTGGTGTGCAGCGAGTGCATCATGATGGCAGCTCATTAATTTGCCAATTTAAATGGCATCGATTTCTGCGTCAAGTCAATTGCCGTTGCGATGTTCGTGCAAACTTTTATTAATTTTATCCTTGGCCGCAATGTGACCAACAAGTAGCTGCAGCGGCAGCGTCAGCGGCAGCTTCGTGAGCTGCCTCCGTGTGGCAGCAGCAGCAGCAGCCGCAGCAGCGGATGCGTTGCCAGCGCCATCGTCGCCAGTCACCACCGGACGTCACCAGCATTGACGCCATCATTATTATTATTGTTAAACACACACACACACTCACACTCTTACACACACTCACACACATGCACAACCGTTTGCTGAATTTCTGATGGGGGTTTATTATGCGGCAGGCGATATGCGATATTATCGCATTCATGGCCAATGTTCAATTTGGTAGCGCACTCGTGTATTAGCATTATGATTAATGATGTGCGTGCCACAATCGACAAGGAGGGGCAGGAGGCAAGGAAGGCGGCGGAGGCGGAGGAGGCGGCGGAGGCGGCGGAGGCATGCACAAGGTGCTCGGCATATCATTAAGATGAGAATCTCGGCAATTACATCAAACGGTTGCATTTGCCTCAAGTCTTCAGGTCAGCAAAACTAACGACAATTATGCAGTTAGAGGGACCAACTATATAAGGGCCTAGATAGCTTAAACAAACAAGAGTGATTCGACTAGTGGATACCCTGTAATACACACAAACACTTATAATTCAATTGTTAAAGTCTCTCCCGAGAATATATATATGCTTCAATCGATACTGCTCGACTACTAGATACTCTGTGCAATTGCGCTCCACTCGATACTGCTCGACTAGTAGATACTCTGTACCACGCCACACACACACACAGGTATAATTCAATAGTTAGTCTCTCCTAAGAATATATATTCCCCATGGGTTCGCCGTATCTCGCTCTAGACAAGTCTCCAATCGAGACTGATCGACTAGTAGATACTCTGTACTACACCAACCACACACTTACTCATAATTCAATTCCTAAAGTCTCCCAAGAACATATATGCTTTATGGGTTCGCTTTATGGTTCCCGCTCTATGCAAGTGTTCTCCAATCGAGACTGTTCAACTAGGAGATACTCTGTACCACTCTGTACCACTCTGTACCACTTATTATCTAAAATGTAGACTCTCTTTATGGAAAACCTTCTACTAATCACTGACACGCTCATAATACCCTTCGCAAGCTCATTAAAATGTGGGGCATGTCGACGTTAGCACTAAGTTAAGCTCGACTAGTAGATACTCTATACCAAGCACTTATTATCTAAAATTTAGACTCTCTTTCAAGAATATACACATATACACTTCATGGAAAACCTTCTACTATTTACTGACACGCTTTTAATACCCTTCGCAAGCTCATTAAAATGTGGGGCATGTCCACTTTAACACTAAGTTAAGTTCTTGCAGCTGGGCACTTGAGACGCCCGCTTAAGAAATCCCATTCTGTCTCTTCTGTCATGTGGGCCAAAATATGAAACTAAAAACAAAAGTAATTTAATTACCGACTACATTTTCAGAGTGTTTGGCAAATAGAACTTAATTCTGTATACAAATATTGCAGTCAACAGCAAAATAGTGAATTAGGCAATATCCGTTTTACTAATCGAGCGTATTTCGTGTGCCTTGTTTGGGACTCTGGGCCAATGCATAGAGAATCTAAATGAGTTTTCACTTTCAATGCCAATGCAAAACAGTTTTTATTTTTTTTCATTTTATTTTAATTTTCTGTTGACTCAGCTTGGCAACAGAAATTGGTAAGCGCACGACTTCGGTTTATTCACCTTAACTGAAAGCACAGTATGAACTGCAGATATACATCTATATATACACATATATATGTTTACCTTTGTATGCACATATATATATTTTACCTATTTACTAGTCAGTATGCACGTTCACGAATGGGATTTGAACTTGAGGTTTTTTTTGTCTGCTGCAACCGCGCTTTAATACAAATCAAACAGTTAATGCAAAAGGAAAAGCCAACAAGTGTTTAAATTGGGAGGGAACGACTACCAAATGCCCTGTAAACAGTGTCTACTTTCTTTTGGACGTATTTATTGATAAAAATAATACATTTTTTAAGTCTAAATACTTAACGAGCACTTACAAACCAAATTTGATGGCTGTAGCTCTAATAATTCCCGAGGTATGGTCAAAAAATCTAATCTGAAAATCGACAACTGTCAATATCGATATAGAAACAAAGAGAGCTATCGATGATTTGAAATAATTTGGATCTAGAAGAAATCTACATTCCAAATTCTAGGTGTCTAGCTCTTATAGTTCTTCAAATAGACAAGGATAGATAGATGGACACCTCTAGATCGACTCACCTCATCAGAGATATCTCCCTCTCTCTTTCTCTTACAAACATTAGCAGAAAACCAAAATACTCTTTTGTCAATCATTTTCAACGGGTACAGGGCATAAAAACTGTACCGGTTAACCTTAAAATTCCGTTAAGAAAAAAAAAGGCAGACATGCAGCAAAGGCCTGCAGCATCTTGGCGAACAGGTAGCTCTGCTAGCTGCTTATCTGGCTGACCAACTGACCGCCATTGATTGCGGTCCAGATAAAAATGCGCTTACAACAAAGCACAAGCACAGAGTGCAACAAGTGGCAGAGAGCGCAAACGAAACAAAAACCGGTGTCGCAGCCCGCATTTTGTTGCCCTACAATTCGAATGACCTTTAAGGACGTTTCCACAAGAAGGATGCTGAGCGCAAACAGGCTGGCCATAATGAGTATAGCTGCCCCCTTCTCCCCTTTGCCCCCCTTCCCCCACTCTTTGCGCGACTTGCCACCCGGCTGGCTCTGCCCCGCAGACGAAACTCGTCCCACGGCAAATTGGCCGGCGAATAACTCGTTTGCTGTCATGAATGCCAAAATGAAAACGAAAACGCAAACGAAAAAGCAAAATGTGAGGCGAGATCTGGTCGCACACACACACACACACACAAACACACACATACACACAAAGTAGCTGCCGCTGCAGTTTTTACTATTTAGCCGTGGCTGCCACAAAGTGTTGCAATCGTTGCAGCCACCCATCAAAAACAGAAATCGAAACCGAAACTTGGTATTTTTTTACTGCTTTTTTTTTTGGCAATTTCCATTTGGCCAAGTGCAAACCAAAACGACACAAATGGACGTGGGGAATTGTCGTGAGGCCGGGCACAAAAGCGAATACGTCGCGTTTTTCTTTAAGTACCCAATTCCCTGGCCAGCGGCTATGCGAGGGTCGTTTGGCTAGTTAATCAAATTCCAGTGACCGAAGAACTCGCACCTTAGATGCCCAACTGCAAGCCGAATGACTCAGAGTTCGAACCAGCGCCCTGCATTAAGGTTCAGCTCGGAAACCTGAAACCAAAATCGATTCAAATGCTCAAAAAGCTACTTTAGCTACTTTTAGCTATTCTTAACATTCGAACTAGCGCCCTGCATTTAAGTTCAGCTCCTGAACCTGAGACCAAAATCGATTCAAAGGCTCTGAAAGTTAATTTAGCTACCTTAAGCTATTCTTAACATTCGAACCAGCGCCCTGCATTTAAGTTCAGTTCGTAAACCTGAAACCAAAATCGATTCAAAGCTACTTTAGCTACCTTTAGCTATTCTTAACATCTTCTTAACAGCTACTTCTTGGCTCAGGTTTCGATTTTCGCATCGCGTTGGACTGCCCCAAGTTGAAGATATGCCACGGGGCAGCTTTTGTGGCTTATATAAGCGTATGGTGCATATCATGGCCAGCAGCGGATTGACCACCACGGAAGCTGTTGCCAGGTGACTGACACCCACTTACATTTATTTTCGCCAGCTCCGGTTGCGGCTGATTACTCATACGCCACGTGCAACATTGGGCTGTGAATGCTCAACTAATTAGCAGCCGTTGGCGTCGGTTTTGCAATATGCCACGCCCACGCAAAGAGGCCAGTCCGTCCTTTTATTTCTGTGAACTGGTCGCCTGCGTGCCAGTTGATTGACTCACTGACACACTGACAACTTTCGAGCGGCTGTCGCTACCGTTTTAACAGACACCCCCGCCCTGCCCCCCTGCCACCCTGCCATCGCCCACCTCTCCAACAGACACTTCAATGTTCAATTGCTTGTTTTGGCTTTTCCGGCGCTCGGCTGCTTTTCATGTTGCGGCTTTTCTTGTGTGTGTGCAACATTTCGTTGTTGTCTTGAGTGAGTTACCGTTGAATGCGTTTTCAATGCTGCCCGCAAAAAAAATTGAATGAAAAAATGCCCCCCACCCAAAGCACAGAAAATGTGTAGAAAAAGTCGAGCACCTGTTGCACAATTGCCCAATTATTTAGTTTGAATATATATATATTTATTAGTTAATATATATACTTGGTCTGTTCACACCCTATTATATTTACGATATTATATTATTATTATTGCCACACTTTAGTTTAATTCACACAAAAACGCTAATTTCTCTATCTTTGCAAATTATTATTGCATTGTCTTTAGTTGGCTAAGAGTTGTTGACTAAAAAGTCAGTTTACTTTTAAGCTTCCAACCGTGCAGATTGTACACACAAAAACCGCTAGCCAAATGGGTAATATCACTTTTGTAAGTGTCGCAATTATCCCCGATCCTCGGCTCGAAAACTATTCAAAATTTTCCACCAACTAAATTAAAATTATCTAAAGTTTGACATAAAAAACGAATGTGAATGCGAGTGTTAATAAATTAGGATAAAAGAGAAAGAAAACTTAATACCCTTACGGGTTTGCAGTTATTTGAGGAGAGATGTGGATCTCGTAATTGTTGAGTTTGCTGAAATTGGAAAACAGGAAGAAAGCCATTCCATATGACCTATATGACATATTGCTCCTGCTGATAGATTTTAAACTGAGAGACTAGTTTGCATAGAAACAGACAGACGGACAGACAGACATATCGCATTTGATACTGATCAAGAAATATCTATACTTTATGTTTTCTGCCAAACGTTACAAATTTCATGACAAAATCATAATACCCTCTGCAAGGGTATAAGTAGCTAGTTATGCGGCCAGCATCGCAAGACGTGCTTTGTGCACATGGATTTCCCACAGAGATACCCGTAATATAAACTATATTATATGTAGATATATGTTTATAGTGTCTACATACTTGTTTAATATATGCATTTAAGTACTTACCACGAGTACGTGTTAAAATTTGTTTTCACTTCAAGCGATTTTTCAACTTCGTGTAGTAATAACGACATTTAAACTTGGCCAACTTCCAGTCGAAAAAAAAGTATTTATATATATGTTTATATTTATTTAGTGGTTTCAATGTCAGTGAAAAACGTGTGTTGCAAATTAAAAAGCCAGCCACTAAATTCATATCTATATGGATTTTCTTTTGAACTTGATGTCTATTGCAAAACATTTGCAAATAAAATGGGCACTCTTCAATTTATTCCAAGGCTAAGTTTCGGGGAATTTACAGCTTCAGTTCACAATATATACCTTAGTATTTATATGTATGTATGTATATGTGTGCGTGTACACACGATGATAGATTATGTACATGCATATTTTTGGTGCTCTTGCATATGTTAAGCGAATCAATATTAACTATACTCTCGTCCAATATTCATAATTTATTGCGTGTGTGTGGCATCATTTGCAAATTAGCTACGTCACATTTATGGCACGAGGGAGGGGCCCAATAAGCTGTCTTGAAAAAATTCCCATACGAAGGTTGCTTGAAGAGTAACTGCACTATTTACTATTACCGATATTCGTATTGCAGTGAGAGCTCTCTCTCTCTCTCTTCTTTTGAGTTGATACGTAACTGCACTTTACTATTCTGCATATTCGAATTACAGTAAAAGTGTTCTGTCAATGTCTCTCTCTCTCTCCCTCTTTCTTTCTCCCTGCTGCACTCATTATTGGGACATAGGTTTTCGCGCCATTTATTTAATTTTGCGCCATCCACATACATGTATGTATGTATGTATGTATGTATGGCTGTGACAAGCACATTACATGCTTAGGCCTTCCGATAGCCCTCCAAACATAAACATGTGTATAAATTTCTGGCATACATATATACATACATTTGTAAGTGCATATTCACTTGATTTGCTTGCCTGGCCAATAAAACCGTTATAAACGAATACACACGCGAACGAACACACACGCACAAAAAATTCAATGCGGTAATTTTCCCGTCAACATTGGCGCTTCGATTACGTCGTCTTCTCAAAGTACTTTGACTGATAAACAGCAGCTATAACAAATAAAACAGCGACAACAACAAAAGGCAACGGCGACCTCAGGCGGCAAACGCAAAAAGAAATAAAACACAAACTCACAAACGAAGCGCAGCTGAAGGTGGATGCGCAAAGAAGCAGCAAAAAGAAGCCGGAAGGCAAACGCAGATACCGCAAAGTTGTTTTCATTTTAATTTTTCTCATTTCATATCTCACATGTAATGTTATGCTTGTGTATGTTCGTACAAATGTGTGTCTGTTTGTCTGAATGCAGCAAGCATTGACGAACGTAATAATCGGGCACGGGCACATAACTGATCACCGAAAACGAAGACAATGTGTACGCAAAAAAAAAAAATTATAAATAAGGCCTGACAATGAAGTGCAAAAATGCGAATTGTTCAACAGGCGTTTATGGGCACACTTACACACACCCTAAAATTACTCCAACATACAAATGTATATATGTATGTATGTATATGCGTGTGTGTGAACACTCAAAATTGAATGCCCTTTTAATGACTATATTGCATATGCGCAACTTTCACTTGCCAATATGATTGAAATTTGATATGTGCGGCTTTTTGCAAAGCAACAAATCCCATAATTGTGATTATTATTATTGAGCTATTATAGAATTTTGTCACAAATATAGCATCCGGTTGCAAAAAGTGTGAGGGTGTGATTGTGGGTATTCAAATACCAAGATTAATAAATACATTTTAAAAATTTAAAGATTGCATAATATTTTACATGTTTTGTGAGAATCAACAAACCTGTTACATTTACAAAGTAAACGAATGCATGTGTACATATACACACACATATATGTGTAAATTTTTTAACAGATTTCAAGGTTGTGTCGCTAAAATATAAAACCGGCAACAGAAAAAAATAAGAAGATGCGCGAAAGAAAACAACAACAACGGCCGCTTAGTGGGTCAAATTGATGTGCGTTGCGCCCTTTTTCTCTCTCTCTCTCTCTTCACTTGCTCGATGTGTGCCACGCCTTGCAGCTATTGCAAAAACTTACGTGTATAATATGCAAAACTTATGATATGATTTATGGCAAATAATATGTAGCCTAGCTCAAATGCTCAGCAAATAATTCAAGTGGTGGGCTAGTCTACAAAAAAAGCCTTAGCCTAAAATAGTTGCCATACAATTTAAATCAGATCAATGCAGCGACTACGATTATCATCATCATCATCATCAATGTCAAAGCAATCGTCAGTCACAGCGGTCACTGAGGGCCATCTTGGATTGATGATGGTTCATCTTTATCTTCTCAATCGTCGTTTGCGACTGCGTCTTAGCTACCTGACCTAACAATATTTTTAACATGTGCATAATCGATTTACATAAAGAGCGCCAAGCTAACGCCACATATTAATTAGTTAAAAAACGTGTTATATACATAAAAGAAGTATAGTTGGTTTGCTGCGTCCCTATTTTATTTGAATAGTGACGTCACACTCTCATATGCTTGCATGCACAGACACCCACACATTTAGTCTAACAGTGGATCCCGTTTATGTTATGCGCCAATGTTGCCAACTGTTACAAATATGTAATTTAAGCATACGTAAAAATTGCTCAGCTAAATATACTTAAATGTTTTTATAATTGCATGCACAGCCATCGTCCAGACCCGAATCGGATTTTACGCTCGACTTGCCGCGCGCCGAGCAGCTGCGCCTCAAAATGGAAAAGGAGAAGAAGTTCCGCCAAAGATGTCGCCTCATCACCACATTTCTAAGTCTGGTATTCTTTCTACTGACCGTGATGGTTGTCAGTTTGGTTTTAACGCGCGGCAAACGCATGTTTGGCAGCATGATTTAGCCAAGGAGTCCCATATAAAACTGAATATTAGCATAGACTATAAGAAGAAGAAAATCAACTTAAAAAGCAAAACAAAAACTAGAACAAAATTAAAGTGCCGTAGTAATTCTTAGATTCAACAGTAACAGCTACATAATAACTGCAACAAATCGTAGGGCCGTTAGGATAACAACTAATTTCTAGTATTAGACCTAGTTAATTCGTCACTAGTATACACTATAATTGGAGGGGCAACATGCTTGTTGTGCCTGTTTTGGCAGCCGCAGCCGCAGTATTGTTAATAAATTATTTTTGTGATCTTAGCTGTTAAGTTAAAAGTGAAGTTTTGTGTTTGTCTAAAAATCATGATAAATCATGTCCATTCTAAATGCTAATTGTATTAGTTGTAAGCGTGTACTGTACAATGACCTTATAGTGTGTAAATGCGTTCGTGTGTGTCGATAAATAAAGCTGCATCAATGAAAATATATTAAAAAAAAAAGGAACCGAAAATAAACGGGCTTATAAGTTTCTCAAATACACACACATTTATTTGTTTAACCGTTATTCACGTTTTACATATACATATATATCATAGACAATACACACACACAACATGTGTAAGTGTTTGTTGTATGTTTTCGGTATGGATGTGTAGAAAATAAGTTCAAAGCATTTATCGTATGCATTAATTGCAACTTCTTACATACATATCTTTTGGTATCACAAATGTTATTTCTTTTTTATTTTTTTCGTTAAACTTGAACTTCAACTGTGTTTGTTTTGTTTTTTGAGAAAATGCACAAAATTCTTATGTTACCGTATAAGGCAATTCAACTGTTAGGCATTGTTAGTAACTACGATACACTAGAAAAAAATTACAATTACAATTGATACACAGTAAGCAACCGAGAAGGCATATTCCTTAAATGAGAATCGTGGTGCTGTATCCCAAACAGACCTTTGGCCTGATTTGGTCCTATATCTTGGTTGGATTTCATAATATGCGTATGCTCTGCCGATTCACCTCGAACAGTGTGTGATCCTCCTCCTCGTCGCTATTCACATCTTCAATGGCCATGGGCAGTGGTGTCAGCTCCTGATTGGCGCGATCCCCCTGCACGCCGTATTTGCGCTCAGCGCGCGATAAGCGCAGACTGTAATGAAAAGCGAAAAAAGTATTAAAAGTAAGAGCTTTGTTTGTATAAAATTAACGGAACTTTGTTTTGCACCAGTGTTGCCAACTGCCGGCTGAAGAAATAGCTGAACACGATGCTAAAAACAGCTAAAATTAGCTGAATGGGCTTTATGAGCACAAACTAGCTCAAGCTAAATCTGTTTAAAATGTTAACTACTGCCGGCTGACCTCTAAAAATAGCCAAATTAAGCTAGCAAATAGCTAAGCTGGCAACACTGCTTCGACCGTTATCAGCAGACCGCGCTCAATGCACCGATCGTAGCTGCTGATTGAAAGCGTTCAAACGCCACACTCGACTTACCGATATACACGTACAACCAGCACCAAAATGGCCGAGCTTGTAATGCCCACCAGTATATAAAACACAGCTGCGTATGTATCCGGAAAATCTGTGTTGTCATTCATATTAGAATGCTCAATGTGCACATCCTCTTCGGGCAGCACGCCTGTTGGATGTTCATGTTGCCGTATAACTGGTGCCGCCGCCTGCTGAGGTTTTTCACTAATGACGACTACTTTTTCTGGAACCGAAGACTCTGCTGAAGTCTGTTGCACGGCAGTGTCTTGTGCCGGAGACAGTGGTGGAGCCTGATCCTTTTTTACGATCCTTTGCGGATCTGTGTTGGCATTTGTGCTAGTTGTGTTTGGTGCCGCTGCGTCGCTTTGGTCATGGTGCGATAAGAACAACGTCAATAACAGTACCACCGCCAACAAGTGCCAACTCTGTGAGACATGCTCCATCTATAAATATTCTTTATTTAAGACAATTAAGCGACAAACAGTGAGCACTTATTTCTGACGTATTCAAATTTTGTTGCTCTGTTCTATTTTTTATTTATTTACACTAACTAGGGCTGCCAGAAAGTCAATTTTGTTATCGATGGGGTTTCTTATGTGCTTAGGGATGCAAAAGTGAAAATCTTGTTATCGATATGATTTTGTGGGGCTGCCAACGATAGTCAAACGGTGCTGCCATATTAATGAAATCCACTCTGTCATGTACAGCGCGATCTGGCAACGCTGAGCTTCTTTTTAGTTGGAAAGAGTGATTTGTACAAACGGTAAAAAAATCGTCAAATTAGTTAAATTACAGTTAAAAAGTACTGAAAATTGCATTAAAATACACGCGTAGCATTAAACAACATCTGGAAACAGGTAAATTGCTGTTAAAACTCGTTGCTCTGATAAGATTCGCAAGCTGTATGTCAGTGCCAGTGCTGTGAAAATGGCGAACAAAAGGTGAAAAAAAAGTACGTGTGCTCCAAAAGGGAAATCACGACGCCACAGATTAAAAGCCAGTGAAAATGCTAGACAATTTTTCATTTTACAAAAATATAAACATTTGTGCTTGAAAATATAACAACATTCTTGTAATAAACCTATTTGCTAAGGTTGGTGCAATAAAACATGTTTTATTAGACCATTTACGTACGTTTGTTGTTTGTGTATGTGTGTGTTTATTTTAACAGGAAGTTATAATATGCCCATGCACATATACACAAATTGCCTGCTCTTTCTTTAATACTAAAACACATTGTGTGCATGTGTTAGTGCTGCTGCAAGGGTATTTATGATTATTTTTTGCTTGTTACTACATATTTTTCTAGTTGTGAGTCAATTGCAAGTTTAAACTTTGCATATCAAATTACATATTTTTCAATGCGCCTCGGGCAGGGAGTTTTATATGTGAATGCACTCACACATGCACACGCACAATTATATGTATGTGTGTCTGTGCGTTTGTTGTTATACCCTATGCCAACCAGAATAAGCGAAACTGGTATGCTGTTTCGAGCCCATAAATTGTATGTGTGTGCCTTGGTGTAGGTGTCTCACTTAACTGTTTTCCTTTGCGATTCACATTAATTGAAATCTGGTTGCATTTAAGTGTTGGTAATTGTGCGTGAGAGCAGGATAGCGAATGCGTTTAATTATATGCGAGTGTGAAAGTAAGCAGAGAACTCGACAATTAAGTGCTCTGGAGTAAAGCGATTGGAGATTCGACTTCATACAGTATATATATATATAATCCTGATCCACAATTAGCAGACGGGACATCAAAGGAAATTAATTTCCAGCTCCTGTGGAAGGACAATCGGCATAGAAATATATCGTAAATCGGCTATATATATTTTGTATTTAATCTTCGCGGCCTACTATAGCTAATTGATGTTGTGTATATTTGCAGATTGAAAAAATACATATTTTATATATCTTCCCCATAAATTGTTACACTTGATTTGCCAAAATTCCGACCAAAACACCCAAGACAAGATTAGCAGCCAAACGACGCAATCAGGACAGTCAGCCCACGTCCCAGTCGCCCGCGCAAGTTGTCGTCCTGTCACAGCAACAGCAGCAGCAGCAGCAACAACACCACCGGCCACAGCAACCAGATCGGTTGGAAGGCAAACGTGATTTGCCCCCGGCTGCCAAAATGAATCGATCGAGCAATTCGCAGGCCACACAGCGGCCGGTCAATTTGGATGACATCTGGAAGGAGCTGGTGGAGGGCATATTGCAAATATTCCAGCATGAAAAATCGCTTACCCGTAATCAGTATATGAGATTCTATACGCACGTTTATGACTATTGCACGAGCGTCAGCGCAGCGCCGAGCGGACGCAGCAGCGGCAAGTCAGGCGGTGCTCAGCTGGTGGGCAAGAAACTGTACGATCGGCTCGAGGAATTCCTGGAGGACTATCTGAGTGACTTGCTGACCACTTTCCAGTCAATAAGGGGCGAGGAGGTGCTGCTCTCGCGCTATACAAAGCAGTGGAAATCGTATCAGTTCTCAAGCACCGTGCTCGATGGCATTTGCAATTACCTCAATCGCAATTGGGTGAAGCGCGAGTGCGAGGAGGGCCAGAAGGGCATCTATAAGATCTATCGTCTGGCTCTGGTCGCCTGGAAGAGGCATCTGTTCGAAGTGCTCAACGAGCCGGTGACCAAGGCGATTCTCAAGTCCATTGAGGAGGAGCGCCACGGCAAGCTAATAAATCGTGCCCTAGTCCGCGATGTTATTGAGTGCTACGTCGAGTTGAGTTTCAATGAGGACGACACCGATGTCAACGAACGAAAGCTATCGGTCTACAAAGACAATTTCGAAGTGAAATTCATAGCCGACACCTACGATTTCTACGAGAAGGAGTCCGATGCGTTCCTATCAGCCTACACGGTGACAGAGTACTTGAAGCATGTCGAGACCCGTCTCGAGGAGGAGAAACAGCGCGTCCGTGGACGCAACTCGAAAAATGCCCTATCCTATCTGCACGAGACAACGGCTGATGTCCTGAAATCGACATGCGAACAGGTAAGCAGTAAATCAAGAGCTGCCACAGTAAAAGCTTTCGTGGGGAAGGAAGGTGTCGATGAATCAACAGGCTTCTCTCCTTCTTTCTAGGAAGCTTTCACTGTGCTCTAAGTGGAATTATTGCCATATAAACGTATATTTAATTCTGTATTTCTATTTACTCGCATCATTCAGGTACTGATTGAGAAGCATTTGAGATTATTCCATACCGAGTTCCAGAACCTGTTGAATGCCGACAGAAACGAGGATCTGAAGCGCATGTACTCATTGGTTGCGCTCTCGCCCAAGAATCTGGATCAATTGAAGAAAATACTCGAGAATCACATCCTGCAACAGGGCACGGAAGCCATCGAGAAGTGTTGCACCAGCGATGCGGCCAACGATCCAAAAACCTATGTACAAACCATACTTGATACACACAAAAAGTACAATGCGCTCGTTTTGACCGCATTCGATAATGACAATGGATTTGTGGCCGCGTTGGACAAGGCGTGCGGTAAATTTATAAATTCCAATGTGGTGACGCGGCCAAACAATGCCGGCAAATCGCCCGAATTGTTGGCCAAATATTGCGATCTGTTGCTCAAGAAATCGTCAAAGAATCCGGAGGACAAAGAGCTAGAGGATAATTTGAATCAGGTGATGGTCGTCTTCAAATATATTGAGGACAAGGATGTCTTCCAGAAGTACTACTCAAATATGCTGGCAAAGCGTTTAGTCAGTCATACATCGGCGTCTGATGATGCCGAGGCAATGATGATCTCCAAGCTGAAGCAGACCTGCGGTTATGAATACACTGTTAAGCTGCAGCGCATGTTCCAGGACATTGGTCTGTCCAAGGACTTGAATTCAAATTTCAAGGAGTACCTGAAGACCCAAAATATAACATCCGAAATTGATTTTGGCATCGAGGTGCTCTCCACAAACGCCTGGCCCTTCACGCAGAACAACAATTTTCTGCTACCCTCGGAATTGGAGCGATCCGTTCAACAGTTTACCATTTTCTACTCAGCTCGGCATTCGGGTCGCAAACTGAATTGGCTGTACCACAAGTGCAAGGGCGAATTAATAATGAACGTGAATCGCAGCAATGTCGTCTACACACTGCAAGTGAGCACGTTCCAAATGTCGGTGCTGTTGCAGTTTAACGATCAGCTCAGCTTCACAGTGCAACAGCTGCGTGATAATACGCAATCTCAGCTCGAGAACTTGATACAGGTGAGCAGCATAAATTTGGAGCAGAAACTATGTTATTAATGACATGAATTTGATGTGCTCGTTTTTAGGTATTGCAAATACTGCTCAAGGCCAAAGTGCTGACGTCCAGCGATAGCGAGAATGCCCTCACATCCGACTCAACCGTGGAATTGTTTTTGGATTATAAGAGCAAGAAGCGTCGCATTAACATCAATCACCCGTTGAAGACTGAGCTTAAAGTTGAGCAGGAGACTGTCACCAAACACATTGAGGAGGATCGCAAGCTGTTGATCCAGGCGGCGATTGTTCGCATCATGAAGATGCGCAAGCGTCTCAATCACACTAATCTCATCTCTGAGGTGCTCAATCAGCTGTCGACACGGTTTAAGCCCAATGTGCCGGTCATTAAGAAGTGCATTGATATTTTGATTGAGAAGGAGTATCTGGAGCGCATGGAGGGACACAAAGACACCTATAGCTATCTAGCCTAAGTTCATGTTTATATATATATAAATATCGTTCCAAAATTATATATTTTGCCAGCCACTAGAAGAAGATATCAAGTCAGATATCAATTAGAGCCTGCCAATTTAACCCCCCCACCCCACCCACATCCCTGTATAAGTAAAAAACATTTAAGATCTGTACGCCCCTTCTACCCCTCATCAAATGATTGTCGAATTAGCTACATGCTTTACGCATTTAGAATGCGTGCATATTTCACAACCAAACATCAAAGAACATTTCTTTCAATTATGCCAGTCCCCCCATTTGTCATCATCTCTCTCAAAGGCAGCAGCAGGAGTTAAGGATGAAAATTCCAGCATGGAATTGTGCAAGCACAGATAAAAAATAATTCATGTAGCTTCTTGAATCATTTATAATAATGAGTTTTACTTAGTTTATTGCTGTTTTATAATTTTTTCATATATTACATTACGGAAAAGACAAAATGTTAAGTTCAAAAAAAACAAAAACAAACAAACAAAAAAAAAAAGAAACAAAAACGAAACGAAATATATAAGTTGAAGCAGTTAATTAAACGGTACGTTTAAGCCGGCTTTCCTTAGCCTTTGTATTCAACCATTTCACAGTGATATCGAAACGTTGGGATACCTACTGTTTTTATGTAAATCGGCAATTTGCAAACTTGACGACAGCTGCGTTTTAAGTTAAATAAACAAACATACTTAAATGTGTACACATATTAAATACTCGACAAACAATATAAATTTATTGATTTTCAAGGGGAAGCCAGTGCTAAAACGGGGCAAATCAAATACAAATTATAAATCAAACTAGCCTAGAGCAGGACATCCAAAGAATAAAACTTAGAAGCCCATCAAGTTATACATGTATATGGACTATTGCAGACTTTGCTCTTCGTAAACATATATTCGGAAAGTACATTTTTGTCTTTGCCTTTTTTTTTTTTGGGTGGGCAGCTTTCAAGTCGTTTTGCAAAGCTACTAATTTATATATAAACGTAAATTTAACTAGTGCAGCTGAGCACATTTTGCTGTGCCCCTTTGTTATTTAGGTACTTATTTATATATATATATATATATATAGTATATCTATGTGAATAGCATTAATATATATATATATGTATATGTATTTCTTTGATTGCGCGGTCTTATAAAACTACCAACAACAGAGATCGTCAAATCGTTTACAGAAAGTAGCGGCAGCAGCAGCTAATCCTCGTCTTCGAGCGTTAGAACCTTCGTCTGAAAGCGCATCCGTTTAGTGTTCTTCACAACGCCATTGGTGAGTAAATTCGTGCCTGGCTCTGTGCAGGGCAGAGCATTCCACATCCGCTTAACGCGCACCACTGCAATCGAGTTAAAGTCATATTTCTTTTTGGTGTCCGGTTCAGGGGCTGCTTCCACTGGAGCTGACTCAGCGGGAGGCACAACTGTTGGCAACTTGCGTAGCTTGACCACAGCTTGCTTTAGATTGACGCTGCTGCGGCTGCTCACGCTCGTCTTGTCATCGTCCGCATCCGAATGGGCATTATTTACATCGGCCAGGGAGCAGCCACGTTTCTGTGGATTCGTCGCTTTTGATTTGGCCGCTTGCGAGCTGTACAAAAAGAAGGTAATTAAAGAATATGCAATTGACATATATGTCAACTGACCTTTCCTGTGTGATTTGATATTCGTTGATGGTGGGCGGTGCGGCTGCGCATATTTTGCCCGGCTCCTCGGGATGGCAACCGTAGTCCTCACCCTTCAGCCAGTTCTCGTAGCGCTCCGGCTGAAAGTGTCGCACAAATGTTTCCATCGAGATTTTAACCATATCACTGCGACACTTGCAAATGCTCGCTCGCTTTCCATACTCAATCCAGCGCGTGGAGGCAAAATTTGTGGATTCGGCACCGTTGAAGCCATGATTAAATCCGGCATGATAGCCAAACGGAAATGTGATCATTATTTCGCCCGCCTCCTGTGTGATCTTATTGTATGGTATATTATGCTGACGCAATACCTTCGGACTGATCATGGTCATCTTGTGACGCAAATAGGCATTGCACTCCTGATAGTTCTCCACAAAGGTCTCGTTGGCCAGCTTCTCCAAGCGTCGGCCATAGATGGGCGGTATGGCATACCAAGTCTTTGGGGCACCGAAGTGCAAATAATTAATCGAATACAAATCCATGTCTTCGGTGTGCCAGGCAAACGAGCTCTTCCACATGCCGAAATACAAATACGCCGTATTCACGCCATCTATTTCGATGCCATAATCTGTATTGACCAGATTCAGTATAGTATCAAGTCGTCCGATATTCCACACGTTCAGGTCCTCGTCGCTCAACGTGCCCTTAACATCGGCCGCATATAGCGGCGATATGTACGTTATGTTCTTCCAGTATTTGCGCTCCAGATCGTCATAGTCGAAGTGACGCGGCGTCTGATGCAGCTCCGAGTTGGCCTTCTCCATGAACTGACGCAGCGTCATTTGGCGGCGTTGTTGTATGTTGATTTGCTGATAAACGCCATGGGCGCTGCATAACCAAGAGGAACAGAAATCAGCCAGAAGTAAGCCAGATATACATATATGCACTTCGCTTACCCGGTTACGACCTGACAAATCGGTGCCGGTATTGTCATATTTATATTTTCAATATCATAACCTGAACGCCGCGGTTTCCATTCCTTGGGTGGAATGATTTTAACCAAGCCAGCCTTATGTGCTCCACGTGATTCCATGTACTCTATGTAGCCGGCAAAGTTGGTGAACTCCTCATAGCTGGGGCGAAAGGTCATAATGCGGGGCATATTGTTTTGGTCATCGTCGCCAAATGATAAACGAGTAGACATATTTAAAACAAATTTAACACAAAACAAATAAAAAAAGTGTTGGCAAAGTGCGTCGGACACTTTAACTGCGAGCTCTAGTGCTGAACAATGCGCTTCGAGTGTTGGTTAGCGAGCCAAGTTAACCGTCCGGCCACTTTGCTGTGAATTCAAATTCGCAGTTTTATATATATATATATATATTTAAAATTTAAAACACGTTGCGCTCTACAAATAAAAGCCAAAGCTTGCTTAGTTGATTTGAATATTTTATTTTAATGAAATTACTCATTTAGCAAACATTTGAATGCATTTTGATCACGTGAATGCATTTTATTGCTGGTTTACTTAGGGATTTAGGGATTTAGATTCGCGACTTCCCTAGATGATTAAATCTGTCGCGTTTTAATGACGCTCTTCTACGGAAATATAAATAATTACAGGAATCTTTGTTAGTTATACTCTAGAGATAAGACTAGACGTTACAATACCAAATTTACTGTGTGCATACTCAACAAAAACAAATTGATAAGCGAATAAAGCGGATAATACATAAATTAAATTCAGTAAAATATATATTTATGTCTCTCACACACTATATATATTTAAACTATATTGCTAATTAGATAAATCGCAATTTGTTAGTGGTTTATTAGTATTTACGACTGCAACCAAACACGATAATGACTAACATTAAAGGCCACACAACTGGCGGCTATCTCAAATCGCAGATAATCAGAGCAAATGGATTCTTGCAGCCGGTATAAAAGGCCCCGCTGAAGGCATTTCACGTTTTAGTCGCCGAACAACAATCGAACAAGTTCCTACAAGAGTTAAAGACCAAAAAAAAAAATACAAGTACGATTATAAACAATTTAAAAAAAATTAATCTTAGCCATGGGTTTCGATAGCAACGCAGCGGACAGGCCAACAAAACGTAAGTGGACTTTTGTTTATTTCAAGTTCTTAAGCTGTGAATGTCAAATTAACAGGAGAATTAGTTAAAGCAGAACAATTTCTTTTGATAGCTGTTAATTTCAAATCTTTGATTAGAAGGCGGAAAAATTGAAATTGATATCTGTGGACTTCAAGTGAATTTCTCGAGACACCTTCTAATTGATTAGAAAACGGGTTGATTTATACATGATTATTGATATCACTAATTTATAAATAGTGTTTTTTTTTTAATTCAATTTCGCGATAGATAGTCAATCTAGAGCTCGGCGGAGTTGCTCCTCCAAAGAGCTTTTGCAATCAGCTCGAAGAGGTTATTGATACTCAAGTACTCGAAGCCCGGCAACACGGAAAATTGTCGCATATTCCATTAATTATCAGTTTGTCTTATAAATATACAAATAGAGAGAGAGAGAGAGAGAGGGAGAGAGACGGAACGATCGTCTTATAAAAGTTGAGAGCTTTATAAGAGACTCTGCAGAATACTCGACTCGTCTGGATATTATCTGGGCTGTATTTTAGAGTATCTGTAAAATCGCGTAAGGTTTTAATAAATGCTATATATCTCATAAATGTGACATCGCCGCCAAGATAAGTAATTCGTTTTTGAATACGCGATTCGTTTATCACAATTAAACATTTGCTTTTGTGATTAGCGCGCCTGTTTGTCAAGTATTTAATCATTTGTTTAAATGATTAAGTTGATTTTATTCATTTTTGAGGTTATGTTTGAAATATGTAACGGTAATGGAATTTATGGCCCCCCCCGGTCCCCCTTTGTGCACGCCACTGGCGCCGTTAAACTTTTCCATTGAGACGGATTTCGCCTTTTGTTTTTCGCATCGGCATGTGTTAATGATAATGACACAATACTTGTTAAAAAAAAAAAAAGTAAATAAGCGTCTCGTTTACTATCAGAGCGCACTTGAACTAGCTTACAAATAATCCTAGAATATAATTGAACAATTATCGCAAACATTTGCATTCATAAACCTAAGCCCCGAGCCGCTGCAACATGGTCTATCTCAGAGCTAGCGAAAGGACTCCGCTCCTGATTAGCGCCCAGCTGGGATACTTAGCTAGTAAACCACTTTAGCTGAATATACATATATTTATTTTCTTAATCATATTTTCTTTTATCTTTATAGCCAGCAGAATTGGAGCACGTCACGGGCAGGCGATTCTGCTGTTTGTGGGCATGATGATCAATTACTTTCAGCGCGTAAACATCTCCGCTGCGATTGTGCCCATGACTCAATCAACAGCCGGTGCTCCGTATTACGATTGGGATCTAGCGGAGAAGTCCCTCATTCTGAGCAGCTTTTTCTGGGGCTATGTGCTATCCCAAGTGCCGTCAGGTGAGAAAATCAATTAGCCAATAGTTAGTTAATAGACGCGAACACAATTGTTGTCCCGGGGTGAAGCACACAGACTCTGCCAGTCACTCAGCAATTGTTTCTTAGCTTGTAATTCCCAACCAGTTAAAGCTTTGACAATATGCTAATCATAGATGCGTGAGGCTCCTCATTAATTCACACTTCTCTTGTAATTCCCAACCAGTTAAAGCTGTGACAATCTGTTATTGATAGAAGCGTGAGGCTCTTCATTAATTCACACTTCTCTTGCAATTCTCAACCAGTTAAAGCTTTGATAATCTTCTAATGATAGAAGCGTGAGGTTCTTCATTAACTCACACTTCTCTTGCAATTCCCAACCAGTTAAAGCTTTGACAATATGCTAATTATAGAAGCGTTAGGTTCCTCATTAATTCACACTTCTCTTGCAATTCTCAACCAGTTAAAGCTTTGATAATCTTCTAATGATAGAGGCCTGAGATTCTTTATTAATTCACACTTCTCTTGCAATTCCCAACCAGTTAAAGCTTTGACAATATGCTAATTATAGATGCGTGAGGTTCCTCATTAATTTACACTTCTCTTGCAATTCTCAACCAGTTAAAGCTTCGACAATCTGTTATTGATAGAAGCGTTAGGTTCCTCATTAATTCACACTTCTCTTGCAATTCTCAACCAGTTAAAGCTTTGATAATCTTCTAATGATAGAAGCATGAACTCAACTTCAATCTCAATTTACAGGTCTGTTGGCCAAACGTTTTGGCGCCAAATATGTGATTACCTTGGCCACAGCCGTGGGCGGCATCTTGTGCTTCTTTCATCCCCTGGCCGCCGAGGGTGGCTGGATCGATATCTGTGTGCTGCGCGTGCTGACGGGCCTGGTCCAGGGCAGTGTTTATCCGTGTGTCCACACACTTTTGTCCAAGTGGGTTCCGCGCACAGAGCGCGGCTTTCTCACGACCGGCATCTATTCGGGGGCACAGTTCGGCACGGCGGTCATTCTGGTTAGCAGTGGCGACATATTCGAGTCCAGCATGGGCTGGCCGGGACTCTTTTACATTTCCGGCGGACTTAGTCTGGCGTGGGCGCTGCTCTTCCTCTGGCAGGGCGCCAACGAGCCGGCCACATCGCGCAGCATCAGCAAAATCGAACGGGAGTACATCGAAAGTCTGACGGGCAGCAACAACAGCGGTCAGGTGAGTCCCATCCATGTTTCTAGTTGAGCCCAGAATCGGTTACGAGTTTCGAGCACAAACATTCATTCAAACAAAGTTCGACTTACAACATGTTCGAGCTAACGGGCAATGCAACTGCAACTCGAACTTGCTCAAACGACCAAATTGTTCGAAATTGATTGACTCGATGCAGGGCTCGCAGCTCCTAGCTAATTATAATTGTCTTTAACTGTTGCGATCAATATACTGCAGTCCTTGCCTGTGCCTTGGATGTCCATCTTTACGTCGTCGGCCTTCTATGGCCTGCTGGCCGCCCATTGCGGCTTCACCTGGGGCTTCTACACGCTGCTCACGGAGATGCCGACTTATATGAGCAAAGTCCTAAAATTAAATGTCAAATCGAATGCGCTGCTCTCCTCGTTGCCCTACTTTGCCATGGGTGTGCTATGCTTTGTGGTCAGTCCCATTTCCGATCTGCTTATCAATCGTGGCAGCATTACGGTAACCACGGCACGTAAGTTGTTCAACTCGATTGGCCAGTGGGTGCCCATGGGCTGCCTAATTGGTCTGGGCTACATGACCGCCGACGAGAAGACCGGAGCCATTGTCCTGCTCACCCTGGCCGTGGGCATCAATGCCGCCTGCTTTTGCGGCTATCTCGTCAATCACATGGACTTGTCGCCAAACTTTGCCGGGCCCATGATGGGCGTCACAAATGGCCTAGCCGGCGTGACATCGATTGTGGCGCCTTTGGTTGTGGGCGGCATTCTCACGGATGAAGAGGATCCCACCCAATGGCGGGTCGTTTTCTTCATCACCGGCGGCATCTATCTGCTGTGCAATGCGCTCTTCGTGCTCCTGGGCAAGGCCACGGTGCAGCCCTGGAACGATCCACCCAGCGTGTCCAGCACAACGACTCTACGCAACAACCTACAGTTGGACTCCAGAACCAAAGCCCCGATGGACCGCAAGGATGATCGGTTTTGAGTTGTACTCTCAGAAAGCCAAAGATAGTTATAAAGTTAAATAAGCTTAAGTTAAGATTAGTATAAATTCATTTTGTGATAGGTCTTCGAGCGTCGGACTAACAGTTGGAAAGTCGCCGGTTTAAATACATCGGCGTATTTAAGTTTAATTTATTAATTACAAAACAAAGAAATATAAAATACAATTTAAGCTGGTTTATGTACATATATCTAAAGTAAGTTTGAATTTTACTAAAGATTTTGATACCACATTTGACCCTGGCAACGCCGGGTAATTTGTTATAAGTTTATAATCAACTATATCTGCATGTTTTATGACCAAAGAGAAAGTCCTCACAAGCTGATTAAATCTCAGACCAGAAAACAACCTAAAACTAGATATGATAGGTATTATAAAGAGAATAGGAGATTCGAGATTGGGACAATTGATTATAAAGTCAGATTACCAGCAAATTCAGGTGAAAGCTATTTAGAAGGAAACCTCGGGCAGATAACAACTTGACATAAACAATGCAATTGCAGAAAAACAATGCCATAACCTGGCAGTTCTTCAACGGGAAGAGAATTAACTTCTAGATGCGCAGTATAGACAGATAAGTTTAGAAACATTTATTTCATAAACCTAGTATAAAGCATCCAAAGTTTAATGTACTCTAAATACACGCATAAACATATACAATAGGAAATCACAAGATATTGCTTAAACACCATAAGGCCTTGTCTGTGGAAACAGTATTTCGTGGCATTTATTGGACCCGCCTTCCAGTTTATCTCTACGACTGCACGAGTGCACTCACAACCCTAATTATATACAAATATGGCATAATGTCTAGTCTGGCGAGGGGTTTATCACCCGAATCTTATTTTATGATTTTCTTCACGCCGAGATCCTTTCGTAATCTGATGGAATCGCTGTTAATCATCTTTGCCCGCTTGCTGCAGCTGCAAATGCTGTTCCGTTAATTCATCATTGATGCGACGAGCTACCGAACGCGTGCTCAGTATTGTCCAAATGGACGCCGTCCAGGTCAGGGCAATTGTGGCATAAAGAACAAATGTATAGCCATTCGCATCGCCCACGGGTATCTCGGCCTGCAGCGGTCTCTCTGTCCGAAAATCCGCCTTAACTCGCCGCCAGCTGCAATTATCAGCTGTCAACTGTCTGGGTTGCACTTCAAAATCTGTTTTCTGCTCGTCAAGGCAGTAGAACTTATCTGGTCCATCTAGTAGCTCAGTGTCAATGAGTTCCTTATCGCCCATTGGACAGCTCAGATAAAGTTGGGGCGTGCCTATTACCACTGAGGCCGAGGTGCTGCAAGGCGGAACGTATTATTGTATATATATTATATATATATATATATATATTTATATGTATAGACGACTTACTACTTGCGGCTCGCCGCGTGATAGCGAAAATGAATGGGCAGTGTTAGGGTATCCGTAATCTTTGGCGTTCCTCGCAATAGCACCGAAAATGGTTCAGCCTTTTCGGTGATGATTTCAACGTCCACGAATTTCGGATACACTGCGTTCAGCTGCAAAGCAACAAGATGAAATTAAGTCTGTTTTCTGTTTTAGAAGGTTTTTATACCCTGAACTTATTGATAATGAGGGTAAAGTGTTTGAGAGCTTTGTGCAAATGTATGTAACATGCAGAAGTTGGCTTCTCCGACCCCATAAAGTGTATACATCCTTAATCAGCATGGACAGCCGAGTCCATCTAGCCAAGAAGCTATGTAGAACATGTCGATCTCCGAGGCTTTCCTTCTCCCTCGCCTACTCTTCTGCACTCGCAGAATATGCACTTTTTGTATACCTTTCTCCCATCATCACATATTTGGAGATATAGCATTGGGCTCTGGTATCCACACACACATTTGAATACTATATTTAAGATCTGTCAGTTCCCTTAAGATCGGACAATAAGCTTCGAAGGGAATCGAGAATGAATATTCCATAGAGAAGGGATACGAGAAGCGTAGACTGTACTGCAAGTGGAGTGTGTGGATGTTCGTATATGTTTTGTAGTGTCACCTCGGCGCTGGCTTCAGGGTATCTGCTAGTCGGGTACTCCCGCTTAGAGCACTCTGTGTTAACCCATTTGTATTGCTGCTCACCATTTTTAAGCGTTGCAGGCCGTCCAGCTCATCGGTGCTGACATAAACTGCTGCAGGCAGAGGTTGAGCCAGCATATACTCACAATTCGAGCCCGCGAGTGTTTTCTCAAACTGTACGGTGTACTTTAGTTTTCTAATTGAAGAACATATAAATTCAACACTTTAAATAACATTTGATTTTTGTACAAACCTGTGCATGCCGGCTTCGTCCATTTCAATACGCACAGTGGCTTGCTGCTGCAGAAAACAGCATACTCCGCTTAAAAATAATGCGGCAATTAAATTAACTATAACAAACGCTGCATTTATAAAGCATTTCATGGTTATAAATTAAAAAACAGTGGACATTTATTATTTTTGTTTACTATAGCCAAATGTCAATGCACACAGAGTTGCCAGCTTGTCACAACACGAATTGTCAATTTTTGTATGGCAACCTTAAGCAAAATACCGCGCGTAATTTGAAGCACAGAAAACACCAAATTTATAAATTCCATACATTTCTGTAATTTAATTGTAACGAAAATAGGCATTCCATTTGGTTGTAAAACATTTCATTGTGTTTTCTTAAAATAAGTGCAAAAAGTATTCATTAGTTTCTTGCCGTCAGCCAAATGCATAGCACACAGAGTTGCCAACTATCTTAAGCGCGAATCGTCAATTTTTGTGTGTTGCCAACTTAAGGCATAAACTTAATTTAAAATCTAATTTAATTCTTTATAGTCTTTTAATTTTTGAAATTTAATTCTTTGTATAATTGCGAGCCCTGTCGTGCCAGTTTATCAGCCATTTCATTACCCTTAATGCCTTTATGCGCCTCGACGTAGTTCTTGAAAAGAGAAACGAGCAATAATTGAGGAATAATAGTTAATATAGTTGATAAGACGAACCCAGTTTACTTGAACTTCGTTCTTTTGCAAGAGCTCGTCCAATTCTTTGAAATCAACGACATTTTTAACAGGTTCCATACTGGGTAAGCGCCAACCGCGCTTCTTCCAGCCTGGCACCCATTTCGTTATTGAATTGATCAAGAACTGCGAATCTGTGTTGATGCTGAGCTTTGTTATGCCCAAATCCAATGCTGTTTTAATTGCATATATGGCAGCCTGTATTTCACCCACATTGTTGGTCACCCGCCCCAGCACGGGTTTCGCAGCGTTTCTGAAAGAAAGATGAAGTGGGAAATAAGACTCGATATGCAAACTCTTAGCTCTACACTCACAATTGATGATTGTCGCCAAAATAGACGCCGAAGCCGGCGCATGCGTCCTTTCGACCATTGCCGAGGCATGATCCATCCGTATACACAATCACATAGCCTTCGGCATTCATTGTAAACTCAAAGGCACCAAATTTTTTGAGTGCAACCGGCTCGTCCGCATTCGACATGTGCCGCGGAATTTTGTAATTACCAGAACTATTAGTTTGTGCTTTGCGTTTGCGGCTGCCGGACTGTGTGGGCAGTCCTTCCACCTCCTCCATGACTCCTGCCTGATAAGCATAGAAATTAGTATTGAAGGAAATCAGCTGTTGCGTTCTCTACTTGCCAGGTCTTCGTCCGTGACCTCTTGTTGTTCGACAACATCTTCGGGCCAAAAATCTTTGGGCTTTGCCTCATGCCGATTCTGCTGATGCTCCTGTCGAGGAACCCCATTGGCAGCAACTTGATACATTGGAGGATTTATAAATTGCTCCGCCTCTTGGCGCGTGTTGAACTTCTTGTAAATGGCTCCCTTGAAGCCGTTTACCTGTTGCTGACATTGCGCCCAGCTATCATAAATGCCAACCTGTCGTCCATGTGCAACTGCATAGTAGGCCATTCTGCGTTTTAATATGCTCACATTATACAGGAATTGGGAACGCAGCAGTCCAAACATTCTGCGCCTTAAGTGTTGGAAAATGGTGCACAAGCCTTGCCAGATGGTTAAACTATCGTATTTGTTTTTCAATTTTCAAGTGTATGTTAAATAAGTAGTCAGATGAATTTGAAACTAGATGAATTTTTGATTTATATATCTATAAAGACAAACTTAGCAACATAAAACAACAATCATTGCTGTGTAATGAAAGTGCGAACAATATAATTTTGTTGGCCCTGAAAATAGATAATAAGCTTAATAATCCATGAACGAATCGATACAGATATTAATAGATATTCCAAATGTTATGGCCAATGGGGAATCCCTCTTTTTTTTTGACTAACATAGTTGCCACTGTGACAAGGAAATTACATTGTCCATCATCTCTTAACTGCAACAAGTTGCTACCGGCTGTAAAACTTTACACCAACTCTGTTAGTATTCTGTTATGGCTCTGTTAAATACACCGAGCTGGCCACACTGCACTCCAGCCAAGGACTGTCAACAATGGTAAACGCTGGGTAAGAATTGCTAGACTTGGAAAATTAAGTAAATAAATATAAAAGTATATTAGAAAGTTACAGGGTAAAACGCTCTTCATTACGGGCGCATCTCGTGGCATTGGAAAGGCAATTGCTTTGAGAGCGGCGCGTGATGGAGCAAATATTGTTATTGCCGCCAAAACAGCTGAGCCACATCCAAAATTATCTGGCACTATCTACACGGCCGCAGAGGAGAGTACGTAAATGCAATTTAAATGGAGTGTACGACAATATAATATCTTCACTTTAATCAACAGTCGTTAGGGCGGGTGGCAAAGCGCTACCCTGTATCGTGGATGTACGGAATGAGCAACAGGTTCAACGCGCGGTTGAGGCAGCAGTTGCATATTTCGGAGGCATAGATATTGTGATAAACAATGCAAGCGCCATTTCAAAAACCTCGACACTGAAGACTGATATGAAGCGTTATGATCTAATGCAGGACATAAATACAAGGGGCACGTTCTTGGTGTAAGTGTGGCATTTATCGTGTCTAAAGTAAATTTTTAACTACCTAACTTCCACAGCTCTAAAGCTTGTTTACCTTATCTGCTGAAGAGCGATAACCCGCACATCTTGAACTTATCTCCCCCTCTGAACATGAAGCCCCATTGGTTCTCTGATCACACCGCCTACACCATAGCCAAATATGGCATGTCCATGTGTGTGCTGGGCATGGCGGAGGAGTTTCGGGATCGAGGCGTAGCCGTGAATGCTCTGTGGCCTCGAACGAAAGTTCATACTGCAGCGATTGATATGCTATATGGTCCAGAGGGTGAATTGTATTCTCGCAACGCAGAGGTTATGGCAGATGCAGCATATGCAATAATTTGTCGCGACTCCAGAGCATATACAGGTAACTTCTTTATTGACGATGAGGTTTTGTTGGACGCGGGGGTTAAAGATTTTGATAAATATGCCTGCCACCCAGAAAATATACACAAATTAAAATTAGCTTTGTTTATGGAAGATGATGGCACATTAGCAAAGTTGTAATGGTCGTTTTGTTAATTATTTTGTTGAGTAATTTTAATAAATAAATTGTATAGCATAAATCAGTTTTAAAATGTGGCCATATTTTTCAATTTAAATGTTTAGATCGTTATTTGGTATAATTGAAAATGGTATTTGGTCAATTTGATAACAGAAAGGGGCATATTAATACCAACAAGATTTGGTCACGCTGGACTTCGGCGCTCTTCAGATTAGCAGAACTCGCCAGCAATAACAATGAGAAACACCGGGTAAGGCAGTCAAATTAAAGAGTTCGAAACAAATGGCAAATAAAAAGATAATAGAAAATTACAGGGTAAAACGCTTTTCATAACGGGCGCATCTCGTGGCATTGGAAAGGCGATTGCTTTGAAAGCAGCGCGCGATGGTGCTAATATTGTTATTGCCGCCAAAACAGCTGAGCCACATCCAAAATTGCCTGGGACTATCTACACGGCCGCAGAGGAGAGTACGTAAATGCACTTTGTATCCCAGTTGGAGTTTGTACTTGGACATGGACTAACTTAAAGTGTTTGTTATCTTGATATTAATTCACAGTCGAAAGGGCAGGTGGCAAAGCTTTGCCCTGCATTGTTGACGTTCGCGACGAGAAACAGGTTCAACAGGCTGTGGAAGCGGCAGTCGCCAAATTCGGAGGCATAGATATTGTGATAAACAATGCGAGCGCCATTTCCATTACCCCAACGCTGGAGACGGACATGAAGCGTTATGATCTGATGCAAAATATAAACACAAGGGGCACGTTCTTGGTGTAAGTGAACCCTTTATCTGGCCCGGAAAAAACCCATTAACGATTACTTAAATTCCACAGTTCCAAAACTTGTTTACCTTATCTGCTCAAAAGCGATAATCCACACATCTTGAACTTATCGCCCCCACTGAACATGAAGCCCCATTGGTTCTCGAATCACACCGCCTACACCATAGCCAAATATGGCATGTCCATGTGTGTGCTGGGCATGTCCGAGGAGTTTCGGGATCGAGGCGTAGCCGTTAATGCTCTGTGGCCACGGACAACTGTTAACACGGCGGCGGTGGAAATGTTGCAGGGCTCGGAGGGTGCGTTGTATGCTCGTAAGCCGGAGGTTATGGCGGATGCAGCATATGCAATCATTTGTCGCGATGCCAAGGAATACACAGGCAATTTCTTTATTGACGATGAGGTTTTATTGGATGTGGGCGTTAAAGATTTTAGCAAGTATGCATGCCACCCAGAAAACATGCACAATTTGCAATTGGATGTCTTTTTAGACGATGAAGGTCCATTTGCAAAGTTGTGATTTTAATTTATTACTGTATTTTTGTTATGTTAAGCAAAACGCTTAGTAATTAATAAATCTGTGAGCATTCAATTTTAATTGGCGCCAAAATTGGCAGCATACCAATTATCGATAAGCACAAAATACTGATACAATTGTGTCAGTATTTTTCGCTAAAAGTATCGATAAATTAATCGGCTCTGGCTCACTGCAGCAACCACTAGTGGCTGACCAGTTCAGTTGAACAAGTTCGCTACCAAACAACGCAATCATACAGAGGGACGCCTACATGTGCCAAAATGAGAAGCGAATTTTATTTGTTTTTACTGATTTTTGTGTCAAAAAATGTGGTTGAATCGGCGAAATTAAATCATCCGCGCGTTCTGCTGCCCATATTTCAAGACAAATCCATCAATTTCACGCTGGAAGTTGTCGATCCCAACTGCTACAAATGGTGCGTCTGCCGGGAAACCGGCGCCGGTTTTTATAACCTAAAATTGCAATTTGTTGATTATATTTTTGACCTTCATTTTCAGGACTTCATCGCGTCAGGATTTGATAAGTGTTACGCCCGTTTATAGTGGATTCAGTGAGTGCGCCAGCCAGGCGATTGTTACCGTGCAGACACGTGAGAAACGCCGCAATACGGCAATTGTATTCGCCGAGGAGGTGGCCACCGGCGCGACGCTCCGCTGCGATGTGATAGTCGATACGATTGATCGTTTGAATGTGCGCACAGCGACGCGACAACTGTACTTGGAGGAGGCGCCAGCCACTTTCGAGCTGCACGCATTCGATTCCCAGGGCAATGAGTTCTTTACGCTGGAGGGCATTGAGTTCAATTGGGAGATATCGGCATCGAGCAGCAATATGCCGCCTGCTTTGCGTTTTCTTACGTTCTCGGACAGTCCGTTTCATGTGGTGCCGCCGGCACTGGAGAAATTCGAAGCGGCTGGCGTTAAGGGCTACATGATCTTGCTGGAGGGCATCAATACGGGCACCTCCAAGGTGGCTGTCAGCATGCCGCAGCCGGAGTACAGGCATGTGCCGCCCATTGAGGTGTACATCAGTGTGCTGGCCAACATCATTATTGAGCCATCCGAGGTGACCATCATGGCGGGCGATACCATCACCTTTCGCATTCTACAGCTCAAAATGGACAGGCTGCACGATATAACGGCAAATCGTCAGTACTTTCTCGAGGTTGAGGATGAGAATATTGCCTACCTGAAGAGCAGCAGCGTCACAGGCTCACGTTTGGGCCGCACCCAAGTTTTTCTGCGGGATCGCAATATGCCGCAGCAGGGCGACAGTGCGTCCGACAAGCCGAAAGGACCCAGCGCTCTATTGACCGTGGCGGAGCCCGAGAAGCTGGGCATTAGTCTGCTGCCGCACAATAACTGGATTACGGTTAAAGGCGAACGCCACGAGGTTGCCCTGGATCTGTTTGCCAGCGATGGCCAAAAGATAACCCTGGGCACACGCTACAACATCGGCTCCGAGCTGGATGAATCTTTGTTTACGATTCTGAAGAAGACGCGCAATGGCAGCCGGCTGTACGGCGAGGCGCTCCGGCAGGGCTCCACACAAGTTTATGGCTCCTACAAGGATGTAAGTTGGTGAAGGTTTATATCTAAATGATGGTCTACTAATTGATGACTTCTTGCAGCTCTCGGTGCAGGCAGAGATGCAAATCTTTGAGGAGCTTGTGCTGCGGCCCACCAAAGTGATTCTGCCCTACGATCCGAATACCGTAAAGCCGCAGAAATTTCAATTTTACGCAACTGGCGGGGATTATAATTATATGTGGTACTCGGGCAATCAGCAGGTGCTGCAAATCGATGGCCAGGGCCTGGCCACAACGGAGATCCGTGATGTGCGCATGCCAGGCGTCTCCCAGGAGCTAATTGATGCCGGCGTCCAGCTGGCTGCGCATACCACAGTGCGTGTCGCGTTGACCAAGAACCAAAAGGTTTCACGCCAAGCACAAATCTACTTTTTGCCACCAAAGCGCCTGGAGATTAAACAGTTCAACTTCGAGACGGCTCTCAGGGATTATGTGCGCCTGCATGTGGCCGTCTATGCGCATGTGAATGGCAGCTATGTGCCCTACACGAAATGCGACAATTTGCACTTCCAGCTGGACTTTTCGCATCAGATATTGCAGCTGGAAAATGGGCCTGTTGCCGACACACAGGAGCAACTCGCGCCGGAGGCGTGCCATGTGCTGCGCCTACGCAGCACAGCCGTGGGCAGCACCTTGTTGCGCATCTCCTACAGCTTCCAGGACAAGGTCTTGCAGGACTCCGTCGACTTGCATGTATACGAACCGCTTTCTGTGCTCAATCCGCTGGAGAACGAGGTGATCCTGCCCATTGGCGCTTCACGTAATGTTATCTACGCGCATGGACCGCAACGTATCTTTACTCTCGAGGCGGAACTCACCAAGGAAACCAAATTTGATGGCAAAATTATAAAAGTCTCTGAAATAGAGTTCGACACACAGAATGCTCTGACGGCTTTTACCGTGCTGTGCCGTGAGCTGGGCAAGACGGAGTTTACGTATCGTGTGCACAACACGCTGGCCATGCCCAGCTTTGCCGCCTACCATGCCGAGGTTACCACCAAGGTGCACTGCGTTCGCCCCCGTTTCCTCAAGCTCTATGCACGTCAACAGCTGCGCCAATCTTGTCCCGTGGAGCTGCGCTCTTCGCTGCTGTATCTCAAAGAAGAGGAGAACAAGTTTAATATTGAAATCGAGGTGCAGGATGTCAAGAATCGCAAGCTCATGAACATCAGCTCATTGTGGCTCGAATGGGAGTTTGCCGCCGGCGACGAACGCTATCAAACCGACAGCATTCCCCACCAGCAGCTGCCCGAAGTGGAACTCTATCATGGCGTGCGTCTGCCCGCACGGGATGTCCTTGTTCTGACACTAAGCGAAGTGGCGCCCAATTTTCGCATCAAGGGCACAGTCGCCCACTACAATGACAAGCTGCTCGCACAGCAGGGCGTACACGCCGAGCGTCCTCCATTTGGTGTGAAGAATGTGGGTACAAAAATATATTCATATAAATGTAATTATAATTAATGTATGCAATTTGCCTTGCAGCTGAAGACGGGTGAAGTTACCAAGCCTGTGATTGAGAATGAGATACGCTTCCATACGGTGAATAGCACGCTGTTGCCAACGGATCATGTCAGCATTTATTTGGCACCTTCGCACAGCGAACGCATACCCATCGCCCAGGGCAGCGGCTTCTTTCAGCTGGAGCTCTCCGAGCAGGGCATTGTGCAGGTTACCCATGATGAGAATCTGCAGCAGCTGGTGTTGACCCCATTGCGTTTGGGTCATGTGCGACTGGAGCTAACGGATCGCTGCCTGATGAACGAGCCCGCACATTTGTCCATCTCTGTCGTGGGCATTGGATCAATTAGTGTGCTCGCCTTGGATCGCGTCGAGCGAACCAATTCCATTGAGGCCATTGTGCGTCTGTTCGACACGAATGACAATCTGCTGCACATTGATTCCGATATGTTGAGCGTCTATCAGCTATCCGAACTGGTCTTTGATCCCACCGTATTGAGCGTCCGGCTGGATGAGCAACATAATTTGGGTGTTGGCGAAATACGCTACAGCATAACGGGCAACAATATTGGCGAGACAAAGATCGTCTTTCAGTCGGGCAAGGGCGAGCGTCAGGTATCCAGTGAGCCGCTCAATGTGCAGGTCTTTGCGCCCATACGCCTTTATCCGCGCAATTCAACGCTCGTCGTCGGCTCCAGCATACAAATCTTCTACCAAGGCGGACCGCAGCCCAACACAAACATAGTTTACAGCGTCCAGCAACAGCATGTGGCCAGTAAGTTGGCATCGATAGCCGCTAAAGAATTCGTATTAATCTTCCACTTTACAGCCATGAGCTCAGCCATTCTCACTGCTCACAAGCTGGGCTCCACTAGGATAACTGGCCGCTGTCTGCTCAAGAATCCCATTAACGGCAAGGATGAGATCGTCTCGGAGGATACGGTGGAAGTGCGTGTCGTTGCCCTGACCGCCGTCCAAGTGCGCACGCCCCTCGTACGTATACGCGCCGGCGCCGTCATGCCTGCCACGCTGTGGGGTCAACCGGATCTGTCGCCCATGGTGCTGGGCACGCTAGAGAATATGCGCATTAGCTGGACAGTCAATCAGGCGGATGTTGTTGAGATCTTTAATGTGTTCACGGCAGCGGGTGAGTTGCATATTCTAGAGTATTTAAGTGTTAAGTAAAGTGTGCACAGATACCGCATTGTTGCGCAGAGATTTCAGCTCAATGCCCACCAACTGCACGCATAACAAACAGTTCTCCGATGAGCTTGCATGGTTGAGTTCCAGTGCAGGAACAGATACGGAACAAACAAGTTTTTAAGGGGTGCTTAACTCAACTGGGCATGTAATGGTATTAAAATGGAAATTGGGAAACCTTACCAGCACATTTTATTTGACAGATGTAGAATTTTCAAACTATTGATCCCTAAACTAGAGCCAAAAGAGACCCACTAAATGTTGGTCGTATTTATATAGAGAAAAGGTTTAATGGAAGAGCTGTAAACTCAGAAAGGGTTGTGAAAGATCGTGGTATTGTAAGCCTCCGAGCAAATGCTACTTCATTAAGGTTTCGGGCATCATTAAAAAGATATCATTCCATTTCCTCAGGTGGAAAAAGGGTGAACAAACTCAACTGAACTAAGTTCAGGCACACCCAAGTAAATTAAGCTAGTATATATACTTTCCTCCTCCTCCCTCTATCCATTTGTCAGTTGCGCTCACTAACACCCATCTCTCCACGCCCCTTTTTAGGCATAGAGTACCAAAGCAGCGATTTAATTTCCGTGCGTATACGCGCACTCAATCCCGGCAAGGTTACCATTACGGCCTCTGTGCAATTGCCGGATGGCGTCAAGCTGCCAGCGTCGAGCGTCGAGCTAATTGGTAAGTATTTAAGTGGCCCAATCGACCACAAGCCCATTTCGGACTAGTTGGTGTGCGGGTGTGGCTGCTTGGTATCAAGCGAACCGAACCGAACCGAACTGAATCGAAGTGAACCGCAAATTGAAATTGTTATCGCCACAGTTTTCAAAACACTGGAGCTGCTCGCACCAAAGCCGATAACAATGGACTGGATTTTGGCGGCGCCACGCAGTACGCTTCAGTTGAAATGTAATATGGATGATGCGGTCTATAAGTTGGATGCCCAGAGCAGCGGAATTGTTGCTGTCACGCCAGATGGTGTTGTCCACACAAAGGATACCCTCGGCCGAGATCTGATAATTGTGAGTCCCTGCGCGTGTGTGTGTGCCTTAAATCGGCTTACCTCTCGGCAATTGCATTTGATTTGAAACATATTGTTATATATACACACATATATATTTATATATTTTATTGTTTTCTCGCTTTGCCAGGCTAAAACCGTCGACCAAACCCTGCCCATTGGAATCGAAGTGAAGAATGTGCAATACATTTTGGTGACTCTGCAGCCGGACATCAAATTGAAACAGCTGGAGCATAAAATACCACGCGGCATGAATTTTATATTTAAAGTCTCGCTGCACGACAATCTCGGCAACGAGTTCTCCCACAATATTGAGGATGTGAACGGTCTGCGCTACGATTTGGCCACCAAGGATGTGGTCGATGCACAGATTGGCAATAATCTGACAATTGCGGTGAGCAGCAACATTTTGACTGTCATCTATTTTCAGCGGGCGGGCGATTTGCAGTCCTATATAGCGTATATATACTTCAATTGCAACTTCTGCGGCTCGTTTAAATGTAAATGTGAACTTTAAACTTTGTGCAAGTTATTTCAATTTCATTTTTGTGCGCCTGCTAACAACAAAACCTCTGCATTTTAATGCACTCGCAAAGCAGCTGCCTTGCCACCTGAGCTCCGCTCACACACAAACACTTTCAACTCTCCCACTTCTACCGAAAAAACAAAATAGAATCCAAAAAAAATCTCAGCGTTCGGCCGCACGGCACGTCGCTTGGCTTGGCCAACACTATTTTCGTTTTATTATACCCTAGCCAGGCGGGCATTTCAAGTTTGTCGCGAAATGTGCGGCGCATTAAAACTGCGAAAATTGCGAGAGCCAAGTCTATAAAGTCAGGGTCTAACTGAACTCGGCTGGGATATTTTAATGAAACTTTGAACAGCTACTTCTGTACATATAACAAGCTCGGGTCGATTGGATAACTATATCATATAGGAATAATCATATGAAAAGTGAGTTTTTGTATGAAAACTTAAGACTTTTTTATAGATATCTAATTCAAACTCTTCAATTGTGTACAAGCTCTAAACACTTTGGCATAGCTTAATTAAAAATACTTTGTGTTAAAAATACCCTTGCTTCCATTTATACCTGTTCCAAGTCTCTGCTAGGGTATTCAACATTCGGCATGCCTTCAATATTACCCCTTTTTTTTTATATTTTTGTTCCTTATTTTACTGGACTGTGGCACGTTGATGTCACCACATAAAAATGCAACGACGCGTTGTCGCACATGCTGCAGCTTTTGGCTCTTAAAAATTTGCGGCTGTCGAGTGACCGTCGACCACAAGCCCAAAACTCTTCAAGCTGCTACAAAAACATGCATTAAATTCCAATTCAACTAGGAAAAGAGAGAGAGAGAGAGAGAGCTGCATCTAACCCAATTAACCCGATTTTGAATGAATGTTTCTTTTCCTTTTTCACAGTTGAATTTGCAACGCGAGACAAGCAACATGATTGCCATCAGTTTAAAGGATTCAACCGGAGTTAAACATGCCGAGGATTACATCAAACTGTCTGTGGCCGAGTCGCAGCTTATATACCCCACCAGGGTGAGTTTATACATAAGTAGTTATATCTATATATATCACGTACAAATCGCGTCAGCTTGTTGCTGCAAAGTTAGTTAAGCATTCCATAAGCTGTGCGATATTTGATGCCTGATATACAGGGTATATTTTACAGTTTTTTGATTTGATTTCTCGTTGCTCATAAATCAATTTGCTTTCGCCTTCTCCTTCTTCTACCCCCCATGCCCCCCACTATATTTTATCCGCATGTGTCCATCGAATAACTGTTAACATTGGCAAACTGCGTCACTATTTTACGGGATTTGTCAACACAACCAAATACGGGAAAATAAAACGAAAAACCGCAAATGTCCAACACCGCCCCGCGCGCCACCCAATCGACGCAACGCGAGCAGACAATTTTCTCTGTGGGTGACATCATTTGCTTCGATTCACCGCTAACATTGTCATCGATTTGGAGCAGCTCCAATGAGCAGATGGTAACGATTAATAAAAACACAGGTGAGTAGCTTGCAACGAAGGTTATACAGCGCACTTTCTAACACACCTAGCATAAGGGTGAATCAGAAACTATCTGAAAACGTTTTGGCATAATCACAAGTTCAAAGAAATGGCTTACATATTTCGTTTGCATATCTTTGTGACTAGAGGTAATTACCCGGCAGAGGTAATTACCTGTGTTTTAACAGACCTAGCATAAGGGATGAATTATAAACTATCTAATGGAAGTTTTTGGCAAAATCATAATTTCAAGGAAATGGTTTTTATATTTCTTATGTACTTATAAATAGATCAAGTTACCCGGCGTTACTCAGGTTTTAACTTATATACAGGGTATATATTACATTCCTAAAATAAAGGAGATATCATAAATCATATTAAACCTTTTCGTCAAAATCATAATTTCAAGTACATTTTTCATATTTTTTTCAAGCATTTATTTATATATCACCCTGGTTTTAAAGGACCTGTAATAAGGCATGGCTCATTAACTATCTAAACTCGTTTTGCCAAAATCACAACTTCAAAAAGCTTAAATTTTTTTTAAGTATATATTTGTGGCTAGGGGATTTCCCCTTTATATATAAGTATATATGACAACATTGTAGTTGACAAAACAAAAGAAAATTTCTTATTTTAATTGTTAATACACAAATATTTTCCATTTCCTTTATTTTTTTTAATATGTTTTATTTTTTCATTGCGTATAATAACAAGTAAAATAAGCAAATATGTAAATTGGCAATTACTGTTGAATTTGAACCAGCGACCTCTCGCTTGCTGGTTCGACGCTCAGTCACAAGTAAGCCACACAGCCTCATAACGTGAAAGTTGTAGAGTACTTTGATATACCCCACTTGGAGCTCGAATTTAATAGTCCCTTTCGAGCCAAAAGAAATCTTCTGTAACAATTTCAACTTTCCAGCTCTTTATAGATTTACCTAGCTTCTGGTTACAGCGTATCTTCTAGTCAATATTATTTGTAGGGTACCAGCTAGTCTTGATGTTACTTTTTTTTGTTGTATTCATCATTAAATCGATTATTTTAATTTGTTTTCACCATAATTCGCAAATCCTGTATAGTTGGGTGCTAATTCCCTGTCCAAACAATTCACAGCTTGCATTTTATTTCAATGCTAATTTATGCGTTGCATTTTACAAATTCAACAGCAGCCAAATGCAATGTTTGATGGTGGTGTAAGCACAACCATCCACACACACACACACACACACACACACACAGACCACACGACACACACACCACATTCGTACACACACACAGATAGTTTTGTTGAAGCAAAACTTTCAATAAATTGGCCTATATTTTACGTACGATTTATTGATAACCCAATTAGGCTTATTTTTTGGCTGCTTTATAAACAATCCAATAATTGACAAGCAAAACAACAGCAACAACTGGTTCAACTATTGGGGCTATAATTTCTGAATTAATTACCTTTTGCTAACGTTTTGAATGCTCAATAGATTTTCATTCTGCAACGAAATTTCCAAGTGCAGCAGTTCCCCATTTTTTTTCTCTCCATTTTATACGCTTTTTATTCATTTTTTATTTGTAGTGCAACAGCAAAAATATTTACAATTGTTGTGTAGGTTTATTTGTGTGTGTGTGTATGTGTGTGTGTCCCTTGAGCCTTTGAGTGGCGCGTAAAGTGTTAAACAAACATTGTCACGCGGTACAAGTACAGTAAATATCAGCTAAGTTCAACATTGTTGCAAAAACTTTTCACTTTGTTTTATTTATACAGGCCAGGACATGTCGTGTAGCCTTTAAGTGAAGTCTAGAGTGTATAATAGAGGCAGCTGCAATCATAGGTGGTCCTATAAATAAAACTCCTATCAGCATATATCATATATCATTTTACAACTCATTGAACTCAGAGACTAGCGGAGCTAGAGACCCAACATTTGGTATGCAGACTCTCGTACATGGTAAAAGATCGAATTTGGTAGCTCGCTCAGATAGCTCTTCTTCTTCACACTGAAAAGATACCATATACTATTTTATATTTATAAACCATTGTACTCAGATTTAGATGCCAAATTGATCTAGAGGTCAAACTATAAGCAAAGAGCCAAACCTCGAAAGTGAAAATTGGATGAGATTTGACCGAGTTATGGTGGTGAGAAATTTTTTATATAGGATATTTGAGGGAACCATTTTGACATGAATTTTGACACAGAATAATGTTGTCAGATTTTGATGCCAAATTTATCAAGCCATAAATAAAAAACCATACCTTATAAAAATCGGTTGAGTTTTGACCGAGTTATGGGGGTGGGAAATTTCGACCTATGTCTATATAGGATCTTTGAGGGTACCATTTTCACATGAATTTGGACTAAAAATAATGTTGCCAGATTTTGATGCCAAATTGATCTAGAGGTCAAACCATAAATAAAAAACCATACCTTATAAAAATCGGTTGAGTTTTGACCAAGTTATGGGTGTGGGAAATTTCGACCTATGTCTATATCGGATATGTGCATGATATGTTCGGATATGTTCACATGAATTTTGACCAAAAATAATGTTACCAGATTTTGATGCCAAATTGATCTAAGGGTCAAACCATTAACAAAAAGCCAAACCTTATGAAAATCGGTTGAGTTTTGACCGAGTTATGGGTGTGGGGAATTTTGACCTATGTCTATATCGGATATGTGAGGGTACCCTTTTCACATTGAATTTTGACCAAAAATAATGTTGCCAGATTTTGATGCCATATTGATCTAAGGTTCAAACCATTAACAAAAAGCCAAGCCTTATGAAAATCTGTTAAGTTTTGACCGAGTTATGGGTGTGGGAAATTTCGACCTATGTCTATATCGGATATTTGAGGGTTCCCATTTTCACATGAATTTTGACTAAAAATAATGTTGCCAGATTTAGATGCCAAATTGATCTAAGGGTCAAACCATGAACAAAAAGCCAAACCTTATGAAAATCGGTTGAGTTTTGACCGAGTTATGGGCGTGGGAAATTTCGACCTATGTCTATATAGGATATGTGAGGGTTCCCATTTACACATGAATTTTGACTAAAAATAATGTTGTCAGATTTTGATGCTAAATTGATCTAGAGGTCAAACCATAAATAAAAAGCCAAACCTTATGAAAATCGGTTGAGTTTTGACCGAGTTATGGGCGTGGGAAATTTCGACCTATGTCTATATCGGATATGTGAGGGTTCCCATTTACACATGAATTTTGACTAAAAATAATGTTGTCAGATTTTGATGCCAAATTGATCTAGAGGTCAAACCATAAATAAAAAGCCAAACCTTATGAAAATCGGTTGAGTTTTGACCGAGTTATGGGCGTGGGAAATTTCGACCTATGTCTATATCGGATATGTGAGGGTTCCCATTTTCACATGAATTTTGACTGAAAATAATGTTGTCAGATTTTGATGCCAAATTGATCTAAGGTCAAACCATAACTAAAAAACCATACCTTATAAAAATCGGTTGAGTTTTGACCGAGTTATGGAGATATCAAATTTTTAGCCTGCTCAGATAGGTCTTCTTCACATTAAAAACATACCATATACCATTTAATAACTTATTGAACTCGAAGACTATCAGAGCTAGAGACCCCAAATTTAGTATGTAGACTTTTGTACATAGTAATAGATGAAATTTATTAGCTGGCTCAGATAGCTCTTCTTCTTCACACTTAAAACAAATAGAAAACTGGAAATTTGGTACTCTATATCACAAGTATAATCAAAGTATTTCACACATACGCAAAACAATCCAAGGACATAGAAATCATAGTTTTTGGTCATTGTATTAAGTACCTGGTCGACTTTGGTTCTAACTAGTATCATTTATATGCAGTTACCAGCGTACACGCGCCCAGTGTTGAGCAATTGCAAAAGTAAACTTCTAACGCAATTCACAACACAACGCAGCTAAGCGTAATACATTATTCATAAAGTGCTGTCCGCCTGCTGCTGCCTGCCACAAAACTCAATCTTCCACAAAAAAAAAGAAAAAGGAAAGGAGCCGAAGAAAAGTGTGTATGAGAAAAACAATTTTTCACACTTTGCACGTCGCGAGGCGTCGCGACGCTTTAGCGAAAGGATAAACCAAATAGAGGCAGGACACAAGCGGCAAGCAACTTCTCTCTGTGTGTGTGTGTGTGTGTGTGTGTGTGCTTGTTGTTGTTAACTGCGTGCTTCTAGCTGCAACCGAGCATAAAGATAAAGTATCTATGTATTTGCCAAATATCAATATGTGATGCGCGCGTGTGTGTGTGTGACCAAAAATAAGTACAAACTTGGCATAACTGTCTCTCGGCTCGACTGGGAATTTAAGAACTATAACACGACTCGAAATATGTATAAAATATGCATGTCTCTCTCTTTCGCTCTCGCTCTCACTATCCGTCTCTTTCTGTGTGTAAGTGAGGCGCACAAAAGTTTGGTCTATCGTTGCCGGCATTGAGGTTGATGCTGATGGAAAATGAAAATATTATGGCAAGAGGCGCAACTCAAATGGAGATTGACAGAGGCAGCACTTTGTATAAGCTCCTTGCACTGTTCGCATCGGAACTTAAGCAACTCAGCAATTGCCAGCAAAAGGTTTGCCTTGTCTTGCCTTGTTTCGCCTTGTCTGACCTCAACAGCCGCATTTCAATTTTCAGCCAAAACTGAGAAATTCGCACACATATTTTCGAAAGGCATTCAAAATTTGCAAAATTCTATTCAAAATGGGTTTGTTAAGCCAAGAAACTGCAATGTGAGTGTGTGTGGGGGTGTGTGTGTGGCTGTTAATTTTCTGATAGTAAAATATTTTTGCATACCCTGTACTTATAGTGCCAATAGGGGATATCTTAGTTGTTTTATTTGTTTACTTTGTGATAGTACAATCTTTTTGCATACCCTGTACTTGGATAATAAGGGATATATTTGTTGATTTTTTGTTAAATTTGTGATAGTACAAACTTTTTGCATACCCTGTACTTATAATGATAGAAAATGATAAAAAATTAAATAAACAAATAAATATATTAGCTTATTTATTTATTCCTGTTTATAAGTAAAGGCATAATTATAGGGTATATTATAGCTGTGCCAATGTGTGTATGAGACGGTGGTCAGCATATATGTATATACTCAGCAACTAAACACAGCTTTACAAAAACTTTACTTTCTTAGTTTTATGGTCAATGTTTTGTTTAATCAAGTTCTGTTAGCTTCAATTTGAGTGCAGGGTATTCCTGAGTTGTAAATGAAGGACTTAAATTACTGCTATTAACTACGTACTTCCTTGCTTGCATTAGGTTTCTTTCAAATTCCGTACAGGGTATATTCTAGTCTATACCTTTTGCATGATATTCACTCACTTCCATAATCAAACACTGAACATTGCGGTTGTAAAGAAGTAAATGCAAGCTATCTCCTTTACAATTACTCTCCACTGGATTGGTTAATGGTAAATGCAGGGAATGCAGAGTGCTTTCTAGTCGATTACTTAGACATGAAGTCAGGGTTTAAAGGCTCACCTAACATTGAGGTAGTTACAAATTGGTAAAGAGCATCGCCTAGAACAACAGGCAGGACATGCCAGGGTATCTGCTAGCCAATTGGAATGCATAGAGGGTATGTCCTAGTGTCGCGTAGACATTCAAATGCAGAATATGCTAAGCATATCCCTGAGAATGCGCCTTTAAAGCTTAGTTTCTAGTTTGTCACCATCAAAAAAACAATAAGCATTAAATAGAGAGCCAAATTGTTGACTTCTTTAATAATATATAGCTGATATGGATATATTTATAGCATAGTATGTGATTATTTATTTTTCAATTGGCATTGTCTTTATTGTGTGACGACCGAGAAGAAATCCCCAAGCAATTTATACAGCCAATATTTCTCACAGCTGCAGATTAGTTTTAGTTGTTGCTGTTGCTGCTGCTGTTGAGTGCAAAAGGAAAAGTGGAAAATCAAAGCTGTTATGTGTCATGGCAGTTTCAGCAAAAAGGATGAAAAAACAAACGTCCCATAACAATTAGCCAGATGTCGCCTGCAGTGCTTTAAAATTAATTTAAACATATTCAGTAATTTAACAAAAGAGCCAAGTCAACTTCTGTTCATACAGTTATAGACACATACGCATTCATACATACATACATGTGCAGTCGTGTTTTATGCATTCACTGTAGCTGTAGCTGTAGCTGATAACTGTCCTGTCTGCTCTTTGGAGAGTGCCATGTCATGTTGTCGCATAAATTAATTAAAAGCGCACAATAGCGTTAAAAGCACAATGTAACAACTTTTGATGTACACTATATACATATATTGAAATGCTCAAGCTGTCAGTTTCGGTACGAATTGAAATGTGCGCCCCATACCGTGAACATGCCTGATTTACTCAGCACGACAATCACTTGTCTACCTCATGTATGCCCCCAACTGGGCTTGTATCATTAAACTCTCGTTCTCAGAAATAACAAAAGTTATAGATTTGAAATTTGAATCATATACATATTATGCTCGTATGTTCGTTATTGCAATAGTTAGAGATTGGAAATTGAAAGCATTTATTATTCTCAATGTGCTTACATTTTTATAATATCGATAAATATAGATTTTAATAATATCGATAATTATCGATTAAACTGAAATAGTTAAAGATTGAAAATTTGAGTCATATATTCTTCTCAAACAACGCATAACAGTATCGATAAAAAGCGATAAAACTGCAATTAATTGAAATTGAACATTTGATATATTCATATATTCTTCTCAAACTCAATACGGGTTTATTATTTTTTTGATTTTTTATCCCGTTCTTATAATATTAAAAAATATTGATTTTTATAATATGGATAAATATCGATAGAACTAAAATATTAGGGGACTGGACATTTTAGTTATATCTTCTTATCAAAACACAGTTATTGATTTTTTTGATATTTTCTCTAATTTTTATAAAATTGATAAATATCGATTTTGAGACATAGTTTTTTTTAGGCATAACTAGAACATTATGGGAGCTAGATACCTATGCATATCTATACCTATACATATCTACCTATAAATATCATAGTTAATCGAGTATGCACTTCTCAGAAGAAGTATGTGGCAATAGGAGGAAGATGCACAGCCAAGGCAGCTAGAATGCTTGTAATGGCACCTTGGTACTTCGTTTAGGGTATCTCCTAGTCGAACACTTTTCCACTGGAGCACTCTTAATTTGTTTTTAGCTACGTTTGAGTAGTCATCTGACCCATTTAGTGGCAACCGACGATGACATCTTCTGCTGAGGCAGCTGCTCTGCCCCCCCCCCCCTTTTAAAGAGTATTTGAACTGTATTTCTGCTTCGCTGAGCGGGTTGTTATTTACTATTCAATGCGGCGCACCATTTGCATTGACATGCTGGGCGGGCTTTGCAGGTGGAAAAAATCATTGAAGCATATTTAATGCCATCAAATATTAATATCGTTGTGTTTGTTTGGCAACTTCTCTTGGCGCACAGTCTCAGCGACATTGCTCGCATATTTTAGGCCTTTGCTTAGACATTTTTCGGAGTTGGGTTGGGTCATATTTCAAGTATTTTACGAAAATTCTCCAACCAATATTTGCCAAAAAATTATTGCGCTTTTGTGTAGCAATTTTAAAAGGCTGAAGGCCGTTTCATGAGCTTAACAAAATTGACGAATCTTTTACTTAAACTTATAAAAAGGTCTTCAAATAAATGCTGATAATATTTCTAATGTAATACTTATAGTACGTATTTATAAGGCCGCAAATCTGAGTCATTTTTTTAATGAGTATAACCAGACATTGTTTAACCATTGTGAGCTTTGGCATCAGGCAAGGCTTTCTTTAAAGTATATGTTTATATTCAGGTTCAGAATCAGCAGAATTTGTTGTTATATCTGTCTTCTATCTCTCGTTAAGCCGTCTGTCTGTAGGGCAACTCTTCGTTCATATCTAAACTATATTTTGAGTAAATATTTGTCTAAAGAAGTTTTTACCAAAATACAATTTAAGAAGATCATGTTTAGGTTTTATTTATAAATATTATTTATAGGGTTTTCCAAAGGGTATATTTATATTTCTGTTCAATATCAGCAGGAATCGGTATAGTCGTAAACATTCTTCTAAAGAAGTCTTTACAATAGAATTGAAACTTCGGAAGAGTATGTTTAATCTTATTTACAAGCAACTCGCTGAGCGACCCGCTTGAACAAAGTTCTATCGAAAGTTTGTAATTAAATTTGTGTAATTAGTTTCTGATTTGAACTACGATTTGATCGCTTTTTGATGTCAACCCTTGTATTTGTTTGCAGGCATCGCACGCGTGCTGAGCCATCAGCACAAGCTCGGCGAGAAGGTTGTGGTGACATGTGGCGATAAATCGCGTCGCGGTGGTTACCTCAAATACGATCTGGAACTGCGTGAATCGGATGCGGTATGTGGCTCGAAAACCCAATTCAGTTGCTCATAACTCAAAGCCTTGTGTTTTTTCATTGGCATTATTTGCAGATTGTGTTTGCCAAATCGCTGGACATATTCAGTGGGTCGGAGTACACGGCGCAGCTGGTGCTGCGCAATCACATGCAAACGGACAAGTTCAGCAATCTGGTGAGTTACAGACATGCAGCTAAAGTGCAAACTCTCTCTAAATGTGTTTATATACACACACACACACACACAATTATTGCTAGATTGCCCACAATATATCCAAGTGCATAAATCAAATGCACAAAATCGTTGTGGACGCGTTCACCTGTCGCCTGGTGGCCAAGAATGAGCTCGGTCAAAAGTTGTTGAAACTGTATCAGGTCGAGGCCATATTCGATATAAACAGCTCTCAGTATGCGTGCAAGCTGCTGCTAACGTCCAGTTTCACGGATTTGCTGTCCACACTGAAGACAAACAATGTCTACCTCGAACTGGAGGTAAGCTGTGTGTTGACTTGTGTACACAACAAATTAATGCCATTTGTGCTAAAACAATTTGCTTTCGGGTTTAATTGCAGGCGGCAATGCCGAATGGCGTGCTGGATACCATGTCGCTGAAAATGGTGCCGGGCATTAAAGTGTCGCTCGAATCGCTGCAGGTGCACGATCTGAAATCACAGGAGCTGCACATAAGTGGCCTGGACAAGGCGTTGCAAAAACTGCAGGTGAGTTGGCTTGAATGTTGTCGAAATTGATGAGCAGCGAGGGGAATATAAAACTATACGAGCGCGGGTTGTCTGTGCTCAGTATATTATTTATTATATCAAAGTTTATTTTTCATGCATATTCCGTACGTGGCTGCGGATTTGTCAATGTTAAGATAACATGAATTTTAGTTTTCTAGAATTTTAAAAGAATTGCAAACAGTTTGAATAATTACGAAAGTAGGTTTTCACCTATATTCCGCTCTTGGGAGTGGATATTCAAATTTAAAAAAATATTAATTTTTCATCCATATTCTGCACGTAGCTGTGGATTTGCCAATGCTAAGATAACATGTCTTAATATTTTGTTTAAAACTTTAAAAGGACTGCAAATTGTTTGAATAAGAAAGGATTTTCTTTTTTTTAGCTATATGTGCCGGGATTTATGTTTTTTAAAATGCTTTTAAAGTGTTGGATAAAAATGTATACTTTAGTTTAAATTACAGCAGACTTTCCACCTTTATTCCGCGAGTACGTGTGGAATTTCCCAACGTAATTAAAAAACATGCGAAGATGAATAGTTGAGCGCAGATTAAACTAATGTTTTCTTAAAATTTGAAGTGCGTTTCTCACCCAAGTTTCACATGTAGGCGTGGATTTGCTTATGCATGTGAAACGGTGATTTTAAAGAGTTGAAATCACCTTGAAAGTGAATATATTATTTGTAAATTGGTACATATTATATATAAATGCATTTACGGTGTGCTGGCCGGGATTTCCGTTTTTCGTTTTGCTTAAAGTCGAAACTTTTGAGCTGCACTTGTACCTATTTATACGGTCGCCTTGGGAAACAATCATAAGCTGAAGCTGGCGGCAGTGGCAAGAACATAAGGACGCACATTTTATGTGGTAATAAAATACAGGAAATTGCTTTACAATGTACGCTCCTGTTTCCAGTCACTGACATAGCCACTGGCGGCAGCTCTTAAAGTACAATATTATGTACGACAAGTGTTGAGAGTGCGAGCGTCTCTCTCCAAAGACTGAGACTATTCCATGAATTTGAAAGTTCTTATGGACTGACTGTCCTTGCCAGTTAGCCCAGCCAAGGCAGACTATTGTTGCCAATGCTGCTGCTGCTGCTGCTGCTGCTGCTGCAGTTGCTGTTGTAGTGCCGCAAGTAGTTGCCGCAAGTAGTTGCGGCTTCTTGTGGCACAGCAGCTGCAGTTGCAGCTGCCTCGCAATGTCAATGTCCACCCGCAGGGCTGCTGTTCGTCTCGCTACTCCATTTGCTTTCATTTTCTATTCTTCTTTTTTTTGTTTGAAAAATGCAAAATGACAGCATTTTGCTTGACTTCCGTTTCCGGCTAGCTGCAGACTGCTGGCATTATTTGCCTGGCCCCGTTTCCACTCTAAAATATTAGCTGCATTTCTGAGCTAGCTCTAATTATAGTTAAGTGGCGCATTTGAAATATGCCGCATAATTTGCATTAGCTGCAAATTTGCAGTTTGGCAAAACTTAGCCAATGCATTAATGCAACTGACCGACTGACCAACTGTGGCTGCCACTTTAAGCCGAGCACAGGACATGCAACACTCGATTGCTCAATTCGATTGCGCCATGTACAGGGCGCACTCGTGGCCATCACAAATCGCATCAATGGAACTTCAAGCTGTCGAGTGTGTGTGTGAAGTGGACATGCGATACAGCCAGCCCCATTGTCATTGTCATTGGCATTGTCGTTCTCATTGTTATTGTCATTGTTTTTGTTGTTGTTGCTGCTGTTGCCATTTCGTGGCGCATACAACATTATAAGTAGGACTCAAGCCAAGCTCTTAAATGCTTAACTTATCCTGTAGTCCTTTTATACACTACTGCAGCGGCTATTAACATTTCATTGTGCTTTGTAATGGATGGCTTTAATGGCGACAACTTTAATATCATAGAGTGTAGGCATTTATATATATTCCTGCGCACATATTGCATGTATATATATGCTTGTTCAGTTATAACAGTCGAGGCAATATAGCCAAGTCCATATGCTAACTAGTCTCTTAGCCTTAATACTTACTATCATCATGGAACATTCAGTACATATGCTGTAATCTGCGGGATCGGAATTCTTTATCATATAGCTGGCATAGTATTGATCGAAATTAAGTTAAGAATAATTAATCGAACTACGATATCATATAGTTATATAGGAAGAATCAAGCGTAAAACAAGTTCTTATACGGAAAACTTTTCAGTTCTGTTATTGTCAAGACAAAACTCAGATATTATGAGCTTCATTATTCATTATCAACTACAATCAGTAAAAATATATAGCTTTTCCAATAAAACGTTTTACTCTTATAAAAAAATACTACGGTATTAAATCTTCTGCGTGCCGAAGATATTTCTTCTTTATCGTTAAAATGTTAATATCGAACTGTTTATATTAATTGTCCAACACATTAGACATTATTAGAGACATTAATTGCTTAGATAATACACATTATTTTTTGCTAACATATGTCGCCAAGTGTTTCTTTTTATTTTCCTCAGCTAACTATAATTTCCTCCTTAATATGTTAGTATATTAACTAAAGTCGTTGTGTATATTTAACTTATTGTGTTTTCCTTGTTGTTCATCAACAATTAATCATTTAAAGTTGCTGCAGACGACCGCAAAAAGGCAAATTATGCGGCTGTCAATTTCAGTGCACTTGGCAATTTTTTATTAAAATTCACATTTTCCAACAGACAGCCGTCGCACAGCATATCGTATACCCATATAATGTTGTACATATTTATATATATATAGATTTATTTACATATTAATGGGCATATAGCTTACAACTGTATGTAATTTGTACGGTTAAAAAGCGCATTGGTCTGCATAATATTCAATTAATTATTAAATACACTTCGTGTATTATCAATGGGCTAACAAGAATTGTTTTTGCTGCTGCTGCTGCTGTTGATAGGCTCGTGCTTCCGTTTATTAACAATGTTGCTATATTTTTTTTCCTTGTCAAAAATTATTATTACATATTAATATTATTGTTGATATATATGTGTTTTTTAATGCCCTGTAAGCATAAACATGTAGCTGAAGGGTAGCAGCTTTTGGGCAAAGTTAGTGCAGGCATTAACCAACAAATTTTAAAAGACATAGCCTCCCTATAAAGGTGTTTTCCTCAAAGCTCAAATATGTTTTAGTTTTGTTATAGAACTCACAATAAATAAATGAGTATAAAGAATTCGAACCAGTGGGTCAAACATACCTGTGAGTCATATGTTTATAGGGAATCTAAACTTCGAGCACTCTTGGCTAACCAATTTTTTCTGCTTGCGTTTTCGGTAAAGCTAAAATATGCTTCAGTTTTGGTATGGAGAATGAAGAACAATGCAGAGTTCGAACCAGCGCTTTTCAAAACTGGTTTAATCCTTATGCCTATTTCTTCTATTTAAGTCTTATGTAAAGCTGAAATTTATTTTGGTTTTTGTAAAGAATTTAAAGTTAAGTACAAATTAAATTAATTGGAAAGCGAGGTTCGAACTAGCGCTTTTTTAAACTGGTTCAAGCACATGTATGAATCATATGCTTTAAATTATGAAAAATTTCTTCTGTTTGATGTTTAGAGATCAGATCTATCTGCTTACAGGCTAACTTCCAGTCGAGTCAACTTATTTACAATCTTCTTGATTCTTTTACTTTGATATATATAGAGCTATATATATATATAAACGGATGTAACAGTAGTTGCTCGCCGTGCACATCCGTTGCAATAATAACTTGTTTTTCATTTATACGCATTAATTTTGCAAACAAAAATGAATAATGGGGCATGCACGACTAACCTGTGTACGAAATGAAAGTATTTTAAATTGAATTAATTAAATAATTTAAGCTGTTCTATGGAATTGTCGAACATAATTTTTATTGATTTCAATATTTATATTTTTTGCTAATGAGCATCTTTTAGTCGACTCTCTCTTTGTAAATTTGTTGCTATATTTTTGTTTCTTTTTGTGTTTTAATTCGGCACATTTTTTCAATTGCGTCAATTGTTTTATTTTGCGCCAATTATTTATGCCAATTGTTTGGAATTTGTATTTATTTTTATATATTTTTTTTAGTTAAGATTTTTCTGATTTTCGGAAATTGCAAATATTTGTGAAACTAAAACCAATTACAAATCGCATCAAGCTAGCTAATCAATTAGAAAGCTTTTCAAATTAGTTCCCATAAAATATTATTAAAAATATTTGAGCCTCAATGTATATGTTTATATATATGTGCATATATATTCTAAAGTTCTATTTGGCAATAAAATGCCAAGAGAAGATTGTCAGGCGACAATGTGAGAAAATTGCAATTTCAAATCAAAAATTTTCCTCGGCTGGCATAAAAATCAACAACATATTTGACAAACACTTAAAAATACACACGCACACACAGCTGGCCATGGTGTGTGTGCGTGCATGTGTGTGTGTGTGTGTTTGCATTGTGACACAAATGCATTTTGGTTTTAATTAAATGAAATTGCAACACGTTGAGACTTTGCCGCACACATACACTCAAATTTGAACATTTAATTCGAAAATTGTGCCTTGTTTCGAGGAAATTGCAAATGTTGCAAGCAGTTGCCGTTGCTGCAACATAATACACACAAAACCATTAACACACACACACACACACACACATACCGCCCCGCCCCCCGCCAACCTCCCGCTATCAATTGCAGTTGTTGCTTGCTGCTAATGAGCCTTTGCACTAAATTCTGTGCTGGGCTTTTACTGCAAATTTTTGGCTTTGTCAAAATATATAAAAAATATCTATCGTAAATCATTTATGTGGCTTTTGAATAATAACAATTGCACAAACATTTTTCAGTTATAAATTTAATTAAATTGTTTTTTCTTTATATCTCGTATCTCGTATCACTTGCAGGTCAAGCCCTCGGACTCGAAATACTTTGCCATTGAATTGATTGAGCATGCGCATGGCCTGAGCAAATATCGTGTGCGCTTCTTCAAAGATTTTCCACTGGATGAGCATTTCTATGTGCTGGTGCACTCGCCGGAAACAAATCAGAGCGTTGAGGTAGGTTTTCTTGCCTTATTTTTGTCTAGTTCGAAAATTGTCCGCCAACTAGTTGAAAAGTTGTTAAATTGTCGAAAAAACATCCTCTTTAAGTGAATTTACTGTCATATTTTTTATCTATCAAGAATTTGAGAGCTAAAATATGCATAATTGGGCTTCATTTTGTATACCCTGTAAAGATTTGTACAATTTTAAAGTGGCTGTGCTCTTTTTGAGCAAGGGCAAGCGATTTTCTTTTGTGCAGACTGTAAGCTTTCAAAATGGCTAAAAAGCGTCTTAGCGTTTTTTTAAATAATCGCAGAATTATGCTTGGTGTATTATTTATTCGTAAGTTAAGTAAGTTCTGGGTTCTTCTTCTGGCCAATTAAATTTCTCTGTCTACTTTCTTATCTGTTTGTACTCTTCCCTGAAATATGCTTGGTGTAATATTTATTCATATGTTAAGTTAAGTTCTGTGTTCTTCTTCTAGCCAATTAAACTTCTCTGTCTCTTGTCTTATCTGGTTGTTCTCTTCTCTTCCCTGTCTCTTCTGTTCTCTGAGTCTTCTCTTCTCTGTCCTAGATAGAGTAACACGTAATAACACCACTACCGTCTAAATTTTATTCAACTAACTATTTCTTGCATGAACCGTTCGGGGTCCTCTGTGATGATTACAACAAGCTTACAGAGTATTCTGCTCCTTGCATAAAGTCATAGATTTTAGAATACTTAGCAAATAGATAGTCCCAGTCTTATTTGTATTAGTTTTTCTTCTTCGGAACTCGTGTCATACCTTACTCGACTGCGTCCCTAGGTTGGTTGGTCGAGAAATGGGATGCAGCACATTGCATCGGGATTCGGAAAAGAATAGACTGTCTGTCTCATTAATTCTTAGGATCTAAACGAATTAGCTAGCACTAAATATAGAATCGCGTATGCCAAACGCAGATCAAGTTTATATCGAGAATTTGCCTGGTTTCCTTAAATCTTTAAATATTTATTAAATTAGTACCAATTATTTTTCATAATTGAGAGAAAATGGTTTTTGAGCCACCAAACTAAGCACTTAGTATTATAAAAAAGAAAACCAAGATTTATTTTTAGCTATTCCTGATTGATTTTCGAATATAAGCATCGAGCGAAAAACACAGGAGCTATTGTAGAATTCATTTCTTCATTCAAGAAGTACGCCCGCTGCCTCGGTTGGGGCTTAGGTCAGGGATCAGCTGCTCTTTTATCCATCTAATCCGTTTTAAGGTTCGTTTCATGGCCAATCAAAAGTGAAAGTCCATGCGCGAATTGGCGCGAAAGTGCTTTGGAGTCTTGGTATAAGTACGGCTGCTGTGTACAGGGTATAACAGCTGGGTACTTGTCGACTAAAACACTCTAACTTGCTACTAAAAATGCCCCCCCCCCCCCCCCCCCCCCTTCTTTTTTTCCTGTCTGTTGTAGCTTGTTGTTGTTTTTATTCAGTTGCGGCACGTTATTCTGTAATATTTCACGAGAGAAAAAAAGAAATATTTCAAATGCAACATTTTGTGTACATATTCGGCTGCATTTTCAATTTCGTTCAAATTTTTGTTTATTTTCGCGTTGCAGCTGCAGCAGCGGCAGCAGAAGCAGCGGCAGCGGCAGCAGCAGTAAGCGCAAATGTAAATACGCTGCCATTGGCATTTTTCATTGGTTACCTGATGCCATTAGATAGTGCAAACAGACTGATAGCAAACGCAACCCACTTCGTTCTACTGCCGTTGCTGCTGCTCCCCTCCCCCCGCAGCGCCGAGCTGGCGCCTGCTGCAACGTGAAGGCGCGTATCAATTTGTTGCTAAAGTTTTCACCATTTCCTCCCGCAATTGAACTTCCTGTGCACGTTGCCAGCAGTTGCTGCAGTTGTTGCATTTAAGGCGGCCAAAAGGGCAGCAAGTAGCCAAAAAAATAAAAGTACAGCAGCAACAACAAATTGTGCGGCACATATAAACCGGAATTGCATAAATAAGTTTCGTTTATATACAACAGGCGAATGGTCAGTTGTCCAGCAACAGCAAAATGGCGTATATCTTGCTCAGGCAGCTCCATTCCATGTCCATGTCCAAGACCGGGGCCCAAACCCCTCCCCCCTCCCCCTTCCCCCACCGCAGTTGAATTGCATAAATTTCGGCTGGCGGGCGGGCAGGCTTATTCCCCACTGGCCATGGGTTCATCTATAAACGCTATCTCGCATACAGCTGCACATAAACAAAGGAAAAGTCGTTAAGTATGTGTGTGTGTGTGCTCTGGCCAGCTCCAGCTCCAGCTCCGGCTCCTGTCTTATGGCTATTGTGTCATCTGTGGTGTGTTCATCCAACGACACACACTCACACACACGCACACACATCATGTCAATAAATTCAGTTCCATAAGTCGATCGCTTGTTCGCCGTCCCACAAGCTTCACATCCTCATTTATTAGCCCCAAAAGCCGCCATCACGTACCCGGGTCAGCTTCGCAAACGCAAACGCTTGAAATGTTGGATTTGCCAAACGGAATGCGCAAATCTTATGAAATGCGCTTTTAATTGCGCTCTTTCTCGAGTCGAGTAACTTTTGTGTGTGCAACTCAGACTTCAAGCAATAGCTAAAGTTGATTGGAAAGGTATTTAAAGCTGTTTGTGATTATCCAACTGTACGAGCAAGCCGATCTTGGAAACTACAAAAGCTGAGACTTGAAAAATGATGCATATATTCTCTTATAGCATATGTAGAACGAGCATGTCGTACAATATCAAAGTTAACACTTTTGTTCTCTCGACATTATATCCCATTTTCGTAATATTGGTAAAATTAGATTTGAGAACAGGTTTATTTAAGCATAACTCGAGAATTGTGATAGCTAGATGAACCAGACTAGGTATGTAGGTACTAGTCTATTTTATACGGATTAGTAATATTTCACTTTTAATGATAGCTTCCCCCATTCCCCTTAGAACTGAAAAAGAACACATTTTTAAAGATAGACTCTTAGGGTTTGGTATGTGCACACTTTTTTATGTCATTTATAAGCCCTAAAAATTTCAAAAAGTTTGCACTATAAATACCCGAGTTAACCAAGAGTACACCTATCATATAAAGAGTTGGGAAAAGGAAAGAGGAACCACAGCCACTAGATAAAGTGCGCAACAAGCGAAGTGTCTGTGTGTGTCATGTGTGTATATACATACACATATACACAAGTACTTAAAGAAGGAAGCGCTAATTTCTGTTAGGGGAGCTTAGCCTTGGGTACAGGGCATCTGCCAGTCTTACACTCCCGATTGGAGCACTCTTATTTTTCAAAATCGACTTTCAATTGCATTTAAATTTCTTGTTGACCTTTTGTGGCAATGTGGCTCTTGGCCTAAGGACGTAAGTTGCCTAAGAAAAATATTCGATATGACAAGTGCCAGCTATGAATGTCAATTGAATGGCCAACTGCAGTCGCAGTCGCAGTTGCAGTCGCAGTCGCAGTTGCAGTTGCAGTCGCAGTTGCAGTTGCAGTCGCAGTTGCAGTAAGCAAAGTCATTTCAGCTGCAGTTGCAGTTGTTCGAACTGGCAGAAACTTTTGGCATTGCTTATAATTGATTTTGGTGCGTTCTTTAGAGTTTTTATGCTTGTTTTTTTTTGGCGACTTTGACTTTGGCCAAACTCAGAACCTACTCTTTCGCACTCGCTCTTTCTCCATAACTCTCTCCCTTTCTCCCTCTCTCTCTCTCTCTCTCTCTCTGGTCCTTTTACGTATTCATTTTGTGTGCGTGGCGTCCGACAAGGCCGACAACGAGCTCCCAAATGACCTTCGCAGCGAACGCTTTAGCCCAAAACAAAACTAAAGACGAAAAATTCCATTTTGCATTTGCCAGAGTAAAAGTTTTGCCTATGCTATGTTAACCCTTATGTTTGCCTCTTGTCATTGCAGGTGCCCATTGTGGCCGACACGAGCATGGTGGAGAAGTGCACGGGTCGAACGGGCGGACCGCTCTTCCAGCATCTAATGGACAACCTGGGCTTTATACTGACAACAACATTCATTGTCATCGTCTCGATATGGAGTAAGTATCCCCCTGGCTCAGTGCTATGCTAAGTCCAGGCTAAGTAAATTCATATATTAATATATTCAATTGGTGCATAAATCATGCAGCCAGGTAAAAAACGGTCCAAAGGCTCATAAATCATAAGTGCTGCTCCTGCGACCCTCGCAGTGTTGAGCGAGTTGTTGTTCTTGACATTGTTGTTGTTGTTGTTTGCAGTTAATCGCAAATTCCATGAATCTTTAATCAACCCCAGCGCGCCGTGAAGCTGCTTTACTGTATACTCTTTCAGAGGGCATTGCGAGATGTCATTAAATGTGTAACGCAGAGAAGTCAGTTTCGATTCTGGATTGTTTTGCATAGACCAGTTGTTTAATATATCATATATCATATCATATTATATAGCTGCCATAGGAAGAATCAGTCGGATAATCGATTCTTGTAAGGAAAACGTTTTGTTTTTCAAGATACCTTCAGCTTCACTTTACCTCTTTTATATCTGAAAACCATGTTAAGTCGATCTCCTATATCATATAGCTCCTACATGAAAACTCTGCCTTAAAGGGCATTCAATATTCGACGTGCCAGCAAATTCTCATTCCTGCTTGCTTTTTTTCTCTGTTCATTTTTTACCTGTGCTGCAGCTTAAGTCCTTGGCGTTATCCTTTGACGCAGTCCTTTTTAGTGACGCTTCATGGGAGCTGCGTTTTAGGACAACGCTTCGTTAAACTTTGCCAGTTTCTTGCATTTTTACACGCACCTGCAGACCGAATGAACTCGTGTCCTGTTGTCCTCTCGTCCTGTTGTCCTGTAGTCCTGTCCGCCCTCGGCTGGTTGTGGCAAAAGTTTTGCTTTTTTGGGCGCCGTGCGCTGCTCGTGTTTGCCATTTTTCAATGTTGTCTATGCGTTTGGCCGTGCCACGACGCTTGTTATCGGTACGAAAACACTTTACACCCAATAAAAAAAGAGGCAAAAAAAATATTGCAGAGAAGAAGAAGTGAAGGTAACTGTAGCCAAACAAAACTTAACTGGGGTTTACCTTGTTCGCTTGCCAACCGCAAAACTGATAAGCAGCAACTTTTCGCTTGGCATTAGGGTGCCCACGCCCACGCCCCCTCCATCTGCGCCGCCTCCACCTGACCCTGCTGACACTCTGCGTAGACACACGAATGAAAAAAAAAAAGAAGGAAAACATCAACAACAGCGACTTGCAACGCGCAACGTGCAGCGTGCAGCTTGCAGCTTGCAACTTGATTAATTGCAAGCAACATATACCATATACTACATATACAACATATATACTCCATATATATATATATATATATATATCTATGCCTGCAGGATTTTTTATTTCTCTCCGCTCACACACTCTCTCTCTATCTTTGCAGTATACATATCCTTCTTCCAGACGCAGGGCGTCACGCAAGTCAACTCCGAGGGTAAGTTTAATTAATAATTTTGAGTGCAGCATCAGCAGCAGCAACAGTAGCTGCAGCAGCAGCACCCGAGGCTGTGCCACAACTTTTGCTACACTCTTCTCTCTATTAGTTTTAAGTTTTTAGTCATTTCGTGCATGAATACCAAAAAGTTTTGTGGGTAGCGATAACAGGCCGCAGTCTTTGCACTATCATCATCATCATCAGTTTGGGGGGCACAAAAATTTCTTATTTATGACTTAAACTTTGATTTTTCAGCTGCTTTTTCTGCTCTCACTTTATTCCTGTTTTTAGTTTGATTTTCTTCTATTTTTTTCTGTTTGTCTCTATCGGCTTTAGTTTTTTGCTGCAGGGCGGCTCCGTTGGGCGTGATCTGATTGCAAATTGTATTCACTTGAGAGTGCTATAAATACTCGATACTCGTTAACGATACTCTGCCGCTGCTGCTGCTCTGCAGGCCAAGTGTACAGCTGACCCCATTGCCAAAGGCTGCATGCTAATCCAGCCTATTGCCTGGGCATAAATAACAAGCTCGCATGCCTTTTTGCAAATCAATTGGATTTGAAACGCAATCAAAATCCTGGCAACACAACAGCAACTCGGTAACAACTCAATGCAGAAATCTCGCTGCTAAGTGTCGCCGATTGCAATAAATTACGTTAAAGCCTTAGCATGAACTTAAACATGCACTTTAAAGCGTGCAAATAGCTTCTAAATTATCCAATTTTGTCCCCTTTTATGTTTTGTTGTTATAGTTGCAATAAAATGTATTTGTAGCTGTCCGAAATTACATTAGGGCTTAACATGAACTTTAACATGCACTTTAAAGCGAACAGTTTGCTTTTAAATTTCACGTTTTTGCAACCGTTCATGTTTCATAGTTGTTTTTATTGCCATAAAATCAATTTTTTGCTATCCGAAATTGACATGAACTTAAACATGTACTTTGAAGTTTGCAGGTAGCTTTTACATAATCCGCTTTCAAGTTTTGTAATTGTTTTCTTTGCAATAAGACACTAACATGAACCTTAACATGCACTTTAAAGCTTGCAGGTAGCTTTTAAATTATTCGTTTTAATTGTTAATTGTTTTCTTTGCAATAAAAACCATTTGTAGCTGTCCGAAATAACGTTAGCTTAACATGAACCCTAACATGCACTTTAAAGTTTGCAGGTAGCTTTTAAATTTTCCGTTTTGACAACCGTTCATGCTTTGTAATTGTTTTCTTTGCAATAGAAACCATTTGTAGCTGTTCGAAATAACGTTAGCTAAGCATGAACCTTAACATGCACTTTAAAGCTTGCAGGTAGCTTTTAAATTTTCCGTTTTTGCGCTCGTTCATGTTTTGTTGTTGGTTTTTGTTGCGATAAGCCCGTGTGCCGCGTTTCTTTAGCATTTTATCAGCATTGGGCCACAACTTGCCAGCAGTCAAATTACCTTAATTACAAAATTAGTCTAATTACTTAAGATTTGTGTCCGCTGCTGCCCCAGCTCCTCCTGCCCGTCTAATGAGCAATTGGCGAGCTCAGCAAGTTGCCCAACGTGTCCAGGCCAGGCAACATTTTCCGCATCTCGTGCCACGTTTCTTTCGCGCGCCCGTCCGCACGTAATTTTTACACTAATTTTAATAGCTAAATTATTTGTTGTGTGTGTGTTTTGTGTTACCAAAAATGTTTGCTGTTTGCCGTTTTTGTTGGCCTTCACGCGCTCATTTTTCATGCTCCAAGAACGCTTTACTAATTACCTAAACGAAAGTCTCTTGGGCTGCTTTGAATCTCACCCACGACGCGGCCCGCCTACGAAATATAGCCCAGAATTTAACTTAAATATTGTTTCAAGGTGTGACATACTTGATTGTGAAGTGGTCTAATATTCTTCTTCTTCTTTTGTTTTTTTTTTTCGCAGCATTTCAGCAAAGGAGAAAGGGCGTTTCGTATTCCCCTAACAACTCGGCCCAAAATGTATCAAGGAATGATTCAATTGGTGGTCAGTTTATTCGTCTGCTAACTATCTCAAGCAATCGCTAATTCGCTAATTTATTTGCATATATATTTTACAGATGGTTCGTATTCAAGACATGCGGGTCGGTCCCCCTCGAGGGACGAGTCTTATATCTATGGCGTTCCGCAGCTGAACACCCCAAATAGATCAGACATTTTGCGACGTTACAATTAGTTTATTAGTTGCATTTTTGGCTCTGCTGCCGAACTGACTTTTCCTAGACTAGCTGCTAAGTTAACTTACGAAAAAAAAAGAAGAGATAAACTCAGGTTAATTATATCATAAAGTTTACTGCCAAAGTGTGTGTAGGTTGAGGTGTGTTGATAATTTCTTTGACTCTTAAAAACTGGACACTTAAACTTTCGTTATTTTAGTGACAATCGAAATTGAAATCTTTTAAATTAGTTTTTGTTTATGCGAAAAACATTTTGAGTTGATTTTGATAAATTTACTTGCGTTTAATTACATATTTTAATTTTGAGTTCAGCTTTTCCTTAAGCCTTTAAGAGTGTAGTTAAAAATAAACTAATATTTAATGCGCAAGGTTTGCATCTGTTCTGGTTATTTTACTTGTACATAACTTATTTAAGACAAATGCTCGGATTGTAAGCTTTTTAGCTATTAAATATAAATTAGTATTTAGAGAATTTTTCAATTTTCAGGAGCTGCTGATTGAATCCATTTGATTCAATTCAAAAACTTATTTATTGAACCTTTTGCTAAAGCTTATGAATGTCATTGTCAACATCGTGTTAAATATTAAATACTAGGTGAAGCTGTTTTGTAATAAAGATAAAATAAACAAATAAATACTAATTTGAGCAAATTGGCTTAAATTTTGATTATTATACACTTTACTATGGCTATGATATCTTTACATTAAAAAGGTTTTAAAATACCAAAAAATACTAAATCAAATTTAACAATAGGTTTAAAAAGTACCAAAAATACTAAATAATAATTGTGTATATATGTACTTGCATTTTCTTATGGTTTACAATGTGCCTGCTACATTGCAATCCGATTATTTCTAATGTTATATTTAACATGAGGATAAACAAGTAAATACCAGAAATACTTGCTGGTATTTTTTTATGTAACTATATACTTAATTGTGTCTATGATCGTGCTTTCGTATATGTTCGTTTAAAATTTCGTGTCACGCGCCCATCTCTAGCTAGCGTCCATCTCTAACAGCCCCAATCAGATAATTTCTGTTGAGTTTGCTGTGCGCGATGGATTTCGCTTTAGCTGAACTCCTTTAGCGAGTGGCTGCAGCGCACGTGCAAAGCCACTTCAATTACTTTAGCCGATTCTTCGCTGCTGTATCTGTGTGTGTGTGTGTGTTTCTCTCTGTGTGTGTGTGTATCTGCTTGGGCGAAGTGTTAAGTGGCAGCTGAGTAGACGAGTGCTCAGTTTTAAGCGCTTTTTAGAGCTGAGCTGCCGCTGAAATGTATGCTACGATTTTTGTTATATGCATTTCTAATTAGAAAAGCATCAAGTCAAGTATGCCATTAATTTTACATTTGCGCATTTCAAGTGTGCCTCCCCCGTGCCCCCCACCCGAGCGCCACGCCCACTTGAAAAAATGGGCAAGTACTTGGCACTTGGCACTTGAAGTGTGTTCGCCCAGTTCGCTCCCACCCAATCCCCGCATTGATAATTTACATTTGTTGTTTTTACTGTTATTAATTAGTTTTTCCTCTGTTTTGTGTTCACCACACGAAAAGTGCGCTTCTGCAGCTGGCAAAATGGGTCAGCAATTAAATTAGTTGAGCCCCTGTTCGATACTTTTGCATATTTAATGAGTGCAGCTCAATGCCGAATTGTTTGATTTATGAAACTTTATACGGGCGGGCCTGGTCCAGTCCGTAGGCGGTAAATTAACATGTGTGCGGATAAGCCTTAACAATGTATGTATAAATATATATATATGTATATATGTGTGTGTGTGTGTGTGTGCCACACACTTCAGCTTCATCATTTTAACGCAATTTCCTTGGCAGTGAAATGGAAATTTCCATTTCGTTTTGACTTTTTACGCACTTGCAGAGGGAATTATACACTTTGCCATGCAAAGGGCGACATCTTCGACTCAACAACAAATATATACATACTATATATTCTAGATCTGGATCAATAGCCGAGTTCATATAGCCATGTCCAGCAGTTCGTCTGTCTGTTTCTAGTTTCTCAACGTCTTGGGACTTTGCATAGGTTCGTTTTTCTGTTGCAGTCGGAACTGTGCGAATCGGATTACTATATTATATAGCCATAGGAACGATCGGTCCAAAAGTAGTTTTTTGTATTGAAATCTTTTTTTTGTTTAGCTTCTTAGGTATGTGCAGAATTATATCAATGTCGGACCACTATATCATATAGCTGTCATAGGAACGATCGGTCGATAAGTAGGTTTTTGTATGGAACACTTTTTGTTTATTAAGATATCTTGACTAAACATTAATTATTTTTACTATATCATATAGCTGCCATAGAAAAGATCGTTCATAATTTGAGTTCGTGAATGAACAAATTTTATGTTATTTTAAATATCTTCCCCAAACTTAGCATTTACATGCTTTATCATACTCTCCATATATATGAACCAACTCTTATGAACATTGGACAATTATATCATAGAGCTTTATAGAGAGAATCGGTCGAATAATGAGTCTTTGTAAGGAAATCTTTTCGGTTTGTTCAAGATACCTTCACTTACGAGTGTCACAATTCTTTTTAGACATCAGCAAAATCGTCAGCATATGCCTACAAGGGTATTGAAAATTCGGTGTGCCAAATATGACCGTTCCTTGTTATATATACAACAATATATCTATATATATACATATATATTTTATTTTTTTTCTGCTCAGCTTCATAAATTATAAATAACTTAATCGTGTCCGAGCGTATTGAACTGTGTTTTTCGCAGCCCCCAAGGAGCAAAAAGGGCTCAAGGATCGAGCAGTTTTGTTCAATTTGAAGCGGCTTAAGGGCTGACAAATGCACAGGCATCATTCAACCTAGGCAGCCGTGTGTGTGTGTGTGTGTGTGTGTGTGTGTGTGAGTGTGTGGACTGATTAAGATGCTTAGACTTCGACTTCATTCATGTGTTAACATTATATGGCACTATGCATGCCTGTGTGTGTGTGTGTATGTGTGTGTGGCAGCCATGCTTGATTTGCTCATTTCCGGTTCATTGAATTCCGGCTGCGGCATGCGAGTGTCCGAATGTGTTGAGATGCGATATTCTAATCGGATTTGTGTGTTTGTCCAATATATGAATTATGCCAAATATGCGACAACTGCTGCGTGTGTGTGTGCGTACGTGTGTGTGCTTCAGCTGGCAAATGAATTATTAAAACAACAATTAGCAGCATAAAAATAATTATGTATAATCAGCATATAATACACACATGCATAAATGCAAGTCAATTGCAGGCGCTCGTTTATAATAATTCCCAAATAAATATTCATTGAGCAAATCGGGTCTAAGCAAATCAAAATATTATTATTATGTATATGCATAAATGTACACTGCTAGCCAAAAGTATGCATACTCATTTGTCCAGCGCAATGCCGGGTAATTTCGTACATTTTCCAATATATTATTGCTCTCTTAGTTAGTTTCATTATAAACTCCGTTTTATGAATACTTTTTGAACACATTTCTCATGGTTCATACAAATCCCTCAACTTCGTTTGTCTGCATACTTTTGCCACCCACTGTGCTCAACAGTACGGGGCAGCTTAAATATTAAGTATACGCACCGCGTACTGATAGCAAATCAGCTTTGATGTAAATTCATTTCACTTATTAATTTGCAAATGGCTTTTTATTTTTTTTACCCAATGCACCTGTTACTGAGCGAAGGGGGCTGGTGGAGGGGGGGCGGGGCCGCTCTTTTGCTTCTAAAGTGACTTCCTAATTAAAATGGGAAGCGCAAGATAAAGACATCAATTACCACTGTGCTCGGAGTTTTTGCTAACCAAAGCTGCCGCAGTTTATTTGGCGAAATCTCTTGCTGATGCTGCAAATTCTAATTAATTTGTACACACATACATACATGCATGTCTATATATATGTGTGTGTATAGTATATATGTGCATGACTTTCCTGCTGATTTTTACAACTAAAATGTTTACATTGTCTTCAGCTAATTGAAATTCTAATTATTTTTGGTGGGCTTGGCGCTTTGCAGGGCAATTAAAATTGCGTCGGCTCTGGCAATTTGTCAAAATCTAAACGAAAAAATGTGACATTTTTCAAGAAAATATATATTTTTTATTACGTATACTTAATATTTTAAACGATTGCTTTGCACATATCTAAAGAATCCACGCACATGCGTGAAAAACAGCTGGAAAGCATTTGAAAGAAACTGTTAAGAAGCTTCTTCTTTAAAACTTTTTTGTGGTTCATCAAAATTAACATTATTTAAGGCAAAGTTTTGGTATCTTTAATGAGGATCAGCCTCTTTTGAATATATCAATCTTCAGCTTTCTTGCAAATCCACTTACACGATCGGAAAAAGCGTGAAAAACTGTTGTAAACAATTTCTTTAGATCTAGGCGAACATTAGTTGTTTAAATGTTAAGACTCTGGCAAAAACATAAAAACTTGCGACTCATTTGAAGATTAATTTTTATTGCGTATACTTAATGTTTTGAACAATTCTAGCCCAACTCTTGGGCATAAAATAATCAAACTGAAAATCATAAAAAATTACGCTTTATCTAAATATCATAAAATCAATTTGAAACATTTTGGGATAAGACGTGGGCGTGGCTCTTAAAACAAATACAAATACAAATATAATCACATAAAATGGTGCCATTTGATAATGCTGCAGCACGCAGACTTTGGTCGCTCAGTACATATATTGCTGTTGTTGCTGTTGTTGTTTTCGCTTATGTCTAGAGGTAATAGTAAAACTTAATTAAGCTATTTGCTAATTTCATAATTGAATTACTCAGTCAAACGTTCGATTTGTATGGTCGCATGTTTGATGTTGTATTTGCTGCCGCAGGCCAATTGCGTTGCCAGCTCCAGCACCGCATTCGAGTCGCTCAGCAGGTCTGTCCGATAAGATATGGATAAGCACATATATATATATATATATAATGATATTCATTGTGTCTTACCCACAACCAGATGAGCCATCAGCACATTGTGCTCGCTCGTGTGCTGCCAGACATTCAGATGATGCACCGATCTGTTTAAATAGCATGGAGTAATTTAAAAGCGTTGCTCTTCAAATGGTTAAATGGTTAAATGGGTTCTGTCGGGTTCATTGACCCCCCCCCCCCCCCCGCACACACTCACTTGACACCCTCAATGCTGGTTAGTTCGCGCTGCAGCGTCGCCAGGCAGACGCTGCGCGGCACCGCATCCAACAGTATGGATACTGATTCCCGGAACAGCTGCACCGTGGTCATAATCACAATTACCGAGAAGAGCAGCGTGCACAATGGATCCACATACTTGGCGCTCGGCTGCAAAAATTGAATTATAGTCAGCTCTATGTCGATTAATTGACTTGGGTCTAGACCCAAGCTCGGCAACTCACATAGAATTTGATTAGGATGGCCGCCAGAAAGACGCCAATGCTCTGCACCAGATCTCCAATCACATGAATCATCGCTGCGCGCAGATTCAGATTACGTTCCGGGCTGGAAGGGGAGATGGGGGGGGGGGGGGGTAAATATAAACCAAATATTAACTTTAGGCATTTTGAGGGGCACAAATTAATAACATCAAATCAGGCATAACTAATGCAGCTTTCGCTCGCTCTCTCGCTCTCCCTTTCTCTCCCTCTCTCTCTC